CATGCTGCAGATTATTCAAATAAAACGACCATGAGATATCTAACGGAGCACCTCAATCTCTCAGTGTTCTTGGGAAAGCTACAACAACATCCTTACAACGCCTCTCTAATAGACTACAACACCATTCGTATAGGCTGCTATTATGCTTCTTCAAGCTCCTACTAACTCTGTCCTGACCACGGAAAAGTAGCAATTTTCGAGGGATCCGTGCAAACGCTTTTATTTTCCTAACTAACTTGTGTATGGATCAATATAACATATCAAAATGTGGGCAATTAGTTGTTCTTTCAAAAGAAACAGAGGTTGGTACAATGTGAAAAAGGATGTGAAAATTTTATTTTTTGAAAATGCAATGTATGTGCGGAAGGCATATGAACGCCGAAACTTCTACAGCTATGTCAAATTAAACGACAAATAAGAAAAATTCAGAATATACAAAATGTGCCCCACACCCACAGCCATTACTTCAGAAAGTTAGTCCACTCTGATTCAGGCACGTAGCCAGGATTTTGTTTTGAGGGGGGGGGTGGGGGGGGCGTGCATGGCAAAATGCTTTATGAGGGGGAGGGGGGAGAGAAGGCCCCAGCAAAATGGAAGATTTCGGGAGGGCCCGGGCCCCATGCCCCATGCCTGCCTTCCCCTGCCCTCCCTCCCTCCCTCCCTCCCTCTCCCTCTCCCCCCCCCCCCCCCCCCCCCGGCTACATGCCTGCTCTAATTGACGTCTATTTTTGGTTCGTCGAAGAGTTAACCTTCATAAGACGTGTGCTTTTCAATGAAGAAATGCTTATATTGGTGAAACACAGATGGTTCACCTCACATCCCCAGCAGAATGCTTTCTTTGTGTCCTAAGCTGGTCTTGTCATATCCTTGATTGCAGTTCCTTCATATTTAGCATTTTTGTCTGCCTTGTTGGGAAGATAAAAAGCGTGTGCCGGCTCACGACAGTATTGAACATTACAGTGATACTTACCTACAAACATCTGTTAAGTGTAGGGTGACCAGACGTCCCGTTTTGGCCGGGTCAGTCCCGTTTTTGAGGTCCGCTTCTGCCGTCCTGTCTTTTTGTCCTAATAAAGAATCATGCCCCGTTTTCGGGACATGATTCTTTTTTTTTTTCTATATAAGGGCGCAGACTTTTACAGCCGAGTCTTGCAGGATTAAAGTCCCGCTTAGGAAACTTCAGTCGTAGGCAAAATACGCCCACACCAACGAAGGACCCGAAGCAGGACCTTCGAAATGAGTGCATGCAACTGAACCTTGAGTGGGACTGTTCCCTAGGCCCTAGGGCTTAGTGCAATATGATTAAAAACAAATACCTCCGACTTGCATAACAATATCAACATTTATCAGACGTTTCGTCTCCTATATGGGAGACATCATCAGTGCGGCCCGGCTTTTGGAACATTTTTGCATTTAGTGCAATATGGTAACGTTTTGAAATGAGAGCAGTTATTTCATTAAAGTTTTTCTCCCAATCTCAATCTTTAAAACAGCACCCCCCCCACCCCTCTCCGCTGGAATGTCCCGTTTTCTACCGTGGTAAATATGGTCACCCTAGTTAAGTGACGCCTATAACATAATTCAAAGTGTGCCCAGAGCTTTTGAGGTCTAAAAATGTGCTACAATATAGTTGAATTATGTAAATAATGCCATTTTTGTTACAAAGACTGGCACAAGGAGTTAGTCATGTTAGACAAGTGCAACCATTGCTCCCCAGGACTATTTTCGACAACCCACCAGCTTGTGATAAACCTCAAGCTTACGTTGAAACCAAAAGTAGAGTAGAGTTCTTAGGCTATCTTTGATATTGTGGAACATAATTCTTCGCACTAAATTTAATTTCTCGATGGCGCTTGAAAACCATTGATCACCAGTGACCGATAGCCTAAGGGTGCGGTCAGGAAAGAGTTAACAAATTCCACTTTCTCAATGCTACAGTATGAAGAAGATGGTTGTTGAAATTAGGTTAAATAGAAAAGGGTTTATCTTTTCTTTCCTGTTTAAGTTTAATGTCTACACTGTGAGGTCTCAATTAATAGTGAAAATACCACTCCCCAATGAATGTTTACATAATGTGAGTCGTCAATTATAACGAGACAAAAGCGCATATATTTACTCAGTTCATCCCCGGTCTATATTCATGAGATACGCCTGTATAAGCAAGATCTAAAGGAGCGAAACACGGTCGTACCGCACTGGCTAAACTGGCCGTCTTCAGAGGGGTTACCAAGTGCCGTTTCCAGGGCAGAATAACTTTCCGCTGTCCTAAGCCTCCACACAAACCGTGGCAGATTCAGAGGGAAGGTCCAGATGTCCTGACCCCCCCCCCCTCTTGAATTCTGCATGTGTAAAAATTTAGGGCGTGGAAACGGGGGGAGTGCAAGTATATGATATGCTGACCGACACCTGACCACCCCTCTGGAAATACCTGCGTCCGCCCCTGCACACAACAAACTTGAATTGACTAAAATTCTTTGCTTTCTTGGTATTGAAATGTTTCGAATCAGGCACGCAGAAGAGGTCAAATATCTTATACCTGATATAACGAGTGTTTGTTAGGAAAGAAAATCTTGTTTTTCGACCCACGTAAATGAACTATGCATCGCAGAAAGCTTAAACTTCATGAGAATGTGACACTAACAGTGGCAATAAAATGAAGAAGTCTGAGAACATGACGTAACCTAGATCGAAGTGTAAAAGAAAATGACCACATTTTTCTATGACCCGAAGTCGACACAAGCCTAATATTGTCAAAACAAGAAATGACATTGTGGATGCTAGTGTCATTTATGCCAAAAAAGAATGCTTGCCAGCAAGAAGGAAAACAATGCCATCTTTCCTGCTAAAAAGTCTTTTGTCACACGCACTCGCATACCTTTGATGAGACCCTTGTATCTCAGTCACTTAGTGCTGTCGTAGCTCCGCGCCAAAGCACAAAGATGTGAGGGTAGGCACAGCCATTTCTATGATGATCATTCCAAAATTTCTCAGCGTTTGGCAGCCAAAACAGATAGCTAGGAAACTAGGTTGTAAAATTGTTTTGCCGGTGTCAATAATAGTCCCCTGCATTGAGCATTATTGAAAAAAAATCTACCAATCTTTTTAATCCAAATAGAACCAAGGAAATGGATGTATCTCAGTAAGTAACAATGAAAAATATAGTTCTATAGCACGACCAAATTTACCCTACATGTCCAGAGTACCATAATGTCTCTGAGCCAAAGGGGAACAACACAACATTGAACAAAAAAAGTAATATTAAAAGATGTCAATCTCGCTATCAATGTTATGCGCAAAGCTGTAGCATCCTCAATTTTAGTGACCGGCTACAGGACAACAGAGACTGCACAAATGCATGAGGATAAATAAAAGGCAACAAAGGATTTCAATATTATATTGTAGATTGACTGCCGCAAGCAACTTCACACCAAGGCATGATGTCTCACATCTGCTAACATTCCGATCCCACGCTGCCAGTTTCTTACGAGTTTTGACTTTCCAAATCATATTTATAGATATAGAGTAGAGTAATGCATAAACTATAAATACAGCACACCCCGCACCTGACTACTACATGCCTAGGTCAGACCTTCTGCACAATTTTATGAGGCAGGTTACGTGAAGGTCACAAGAACACCTCGAATCACCCGATATTTGTTAACAGTGCAGCTGTCGGACTCCTCGTAAAACTCTCGGCAGAAGCGCAGTAAGAATGCCAACTCAACACCACTTCCCGAGACAGCGTTTATTTCTTTTTTTTTTTTTTTTTGTAAGAGTAAATGCACTGGGAGAGGTGCCTTCACATAGCAGAAACTTGGCAGCTTGAAGCTTATTGTTGTTTTGTGATCTCGTGAGCCAGAAAAATCAGGCAGATAACGGTTATCTCATAGAGAATTTTTTGTTGTGTATACGATGGAACTGTCTGCCTTATCTTCTTTTCTTTCTTGTCGTGTTGTGATGTGAGAGGTGTTCTAAAAACTAGCAACAGCACATATCATCAGATACGTCCGCAAGTCAGTACACAAACAAAAGCAAGCTCACATGTGCGACATCTGTGAGCTAAGTACAACTTCGGGAACATCAATAACACCCAAAAGAATGCGGAAAATGTGTAGCTCTTAGCAGTATACTTCATCCCATGCACCATACAGGGCTTTAAAAATTTTAAATATTTATAACCTTAATAAAAAAAATTAAAGATTATTTGCAGGCTCCTGTCCACGTAATGTGACTAGTAATTCGTGTTCAATTATGTCTTTTCTCACGCTAGGTTATATAGGCAACATCGCAAGGCCACACTGACATGCGATAGAAAGTTTGAGAGTTAAAAAAGTTTCAAGCCAAACCGAACGAGCGGAAAGCCTTAAATGTGCGATATCCTTTTCTTACTCTTCTTCTTGTGGCACCGCCCAGAAACACACATACAAAAAAAAACTGTTTAAACAAAACGGGCAACTCAGTTTTAAACAGTTTATTTTGGGGTGCTATCTCGCTTCGATTAGGGATCCCGCGCCCGGAAAATTAGTTGTGAAGATGAGCTCACCGGGGATGTGTCACAGCTTCGGTGAGACACTTTAAGAAGCACAAACATATCGGTTTTGTTTACTTGAAAGCGCGCCAACCGAGCTCAGCTCGCTCTGCTACGTTACCAAAAGCAGCTGCTCCCCTCGAACTGCGGCAGGGGCTTACTCTTAGTAGAGAACGCAACATATTAAACGACAGCCCAATTAGGCAAAACTATTCTCGGAGCGTCAAAGCGAAAACTGGGTCAGCAATGACACGCCGGGAACTCCGCAAATATTCGGTGAAAAAAGAAGAAAAGAAAGAGTAGCCTCGGCCGACGAACGGGCTCAAGCTTGGTTACGCAGCGACGACACGAAAATATTCCGAGCGTCGCTATTATCTCGAAGAACAAGACCTAAAGTGGCGCGAGGGAGCGTGGAAGCTTCCTTATACGCGGCTACACCAGAAATCGACGAATGTATTTGGTGTCGTCTTACCGTTTGAACATGAGAATGTCATCCAAGACCCGATTAGCATGTCCTCGTACGGAGATGCCTGGCGGACGCCATACTTGATCACGTGATGTTTTTCGTGGGTGCCATGTTTGTTCACGTGATATCGTTTCGCGCTCGTCTGAGGGCGCCAGGCTGCGTCCGGCCGCTTCAGGGAGCCTAGATCTAAGAGACAGAGAGAGAGCAACTTAAACCATGAACAGCGTTTGCCTCCCGCGCAAATTGGTTGCTCGTGCGAATGCGTGAGTTTGCGCGCAAGGCGCTGCAAAGCCCGATGACGTTTGGGTTGGGGTTCGGTCTCCTCCTTGCAGCTTATATTGCAAAGGCGGGCGGCCCATAAACCACGTGAATCCCATCCAATATTTGAAAGCACTCTTACACCTAGGCACACTCGGCCGCTTGCTTGACGGGATCGCTTCTCGAGACAGAATGAAACTTGAGGCTAACCCCGAAAGATTATGCCAGATAAGAGAAGTCGCCTGCGCCCGCAATCAAGACTAGAAAGTCAATACTAGAGCTGACCGCTTTCCGCATTCGACTCATCAACGTCTCGGACGCAGGAGAAAATGTCCAAGAAGGACGAACTCCACGTAAGTTTGAATAGCGCTCGAAAACGATTCCGAAACTGCTTGTTGCAAGCTTTTACTGAGGTGCAGTAAATTCCACGGATGTGGAATTTGGAATGTGTATGGTAGAATTTCGGGCTTGAAATAGTTAACATTTTTGCACTGTAAAAATTTAAACTGGGCGAAAACTGTCCACGTTGTATGAGTCATTTTGTTTAATTAACAATCACTAAATTGATTATTATTATTATTATTATTATTGTTGTTGTTGTTGTTGTTGTTGTTGTAGCACTGCAAAACTATGGTTCAAAACGCGCGTATGTCGACAGAGGACACATTAAAGAGCGATTTTTCTCGCACTATCGGCTTATGTCGTTTCATACACATAATGATACAATTTTCCAAACAAAAATTTGATAGCGAACCGTTTGGTAATGCTTGTTCTAAGGCTTCAGTAATTCGTCTGCTATATTTTCCTTTTCTCTCTTTTGTTTCTGGGAACCAACGTTGAACGAAATATAAAAAAAGCTTTGTAGGAAACAATACACTAGTCGTTCCGGTTGTATGAGAATGAAATATCATATGCTGCGGAATCGGCATAACAGTCTCTGACATTGAAACTAGCAGACAGCCGCATCGTCTGATCGTTACACATCGGTTGTCTGCAGCCGTGGCAGACGACATTTGACGCCCAGAGCCGCCATCTTTTTCGGCTTTATTTTTATCGAACGAAGCGCCGCGACATTGCGGTTCTCAGAAAGTGATATAGTATAAACAAGAGAGGACACGTCGAACAGGAATTCGGCAATCTTTTCCTGATGCTCCGGGCATATTTTCAAGGACGTCCACTTGTTATATAACGCGGCCCGGCCGCGTTTTATCAACAAACTTGTTCAGCAAGGCTTTTTTTTTTTTTTTTTTTTTTTTTGGATTATGCATAGGAGTGTCAACTCACTTGCATACGTTTTGTCTGGCACCTTCCGTCTGATGCTGAGAAGTGTTTTGTGCGAGGAAATACTACTAAAATTACAGCTAGAATCGAATTATTCGAGCATCGTCCGTCAGTCAGGGAAGTTTACTTCGCCACTTCTATAACATCATCCATATTCGCAGTATTCATTTATACTCTTGCCGGCTGCGACGGATGCAGTATTTTGAGAACTTTACTTATTCGACAACACGCAACTTTGAGAGCAGGGTCTTTAAATACCAATTTACCAGCCATAAGAAAATATTGATATTATTATATTATTCATATTGCGCTAACGCTCGGAGAGTATAGAGATAAGCTGAATAGATAATCAAAAGTATCCAGAATGTGCTGCTCCCTTTTGTGCTTTATTTGCAATTGAGGCGAATTTTTTTTTTTTTTTTTTTTTTTTTTTAAGGTACAGTAAGGGACGGTGGGGGGGGGGGGGGGGGGGGGGGGGGCTTCAAGTTTAAAGACATGTTTTGGAGATTATATATTTTTTCCAGAACTCCAATGGAAGCTTTCTTTCTTTCTTTCTTTTTAGAACGACTGGTAATAGCTGAAGATTGCTGGAGACTTCATCCTTGGACAATTCTTGAGTTCACGATAATTTCTGGGGTGGTTGATGATATGGAGAGAAATTTCGAGCTTATATCCACCCACCAAACCTACGAAGGACGCTATTTTCATGGATTCAATATTGTCTTCAAAGAGAATTTTAAAAGTATATATATAATGTGTACAACAAAACAAAAATCAATTTTGCTAGAATGGAAAGTCTTCTCTTTTGTCATGAAATCTCTTTTTAGACATAACATGCTCATTGCTCAATGCACGCACGCACAGACTATAATGTACAATTAATGATTCGCTCTGAATAAATTGTGTCGAAAAACACGATTCAATTAAGAACTCATCATCTTTTAGGCGAAAATCATCATTGCTGGATGATTTTCGCCGAAAGAAGTGGAGAATATATATATATATATATATTTTTTTTTTTTTTTTTTTTTTAAGCTTACAATTTTTTTAAAAGGATGCTTCGTCTTAGGAAGTTAACTCACATTGTCTTTGAGGAAGTCCACACCATCGCCATTCGCACGCTCCTTGTTATTTTTGTTTTCCTAAATAATTAAGCGAATTTTGTATGCCGAATACGAGCAGAAATTAAAACAAGCCACTGCTCACACCATGATTTAGTGGCAGCACAGAACTGGCATATAACCAGTTAATCGCACAAAACAACTTTTCTTTTCTTTTTTTTTTTTTTTGAAAATAAAGAGATTTTGTAAAAGAAAAAAATAAGAAGAAAGTAAGAGAGGAAGTAAAAGCCGAAATGTTCAACTCAACGCTGGTGACGCTGGTGCAATGCTTCGCACTTTTTAATATTATTTTAATGCATTTTCTATCTATGGTAATTTGCTTTCATGATACTTATTTCTCTGGGGGTTGCACCGATGTTCGAGCAAAAGCCGTGGTCGTCAAGTAGTTTTACTATGTGCGTCGTTCATCAGGCTTATCAAGAAGCGATCGGCTAGCTGCAGCGGCTGCACACTGCTTGAAAATGGCATAATTATTTCTGCACTGACCTTCGAACAGTTAGCCTGCTATTTAGTACCAACACTTTCTATTTTAGCAGAACTAACGCAGGAGGAGGCGACCTCCTCCCCAGCGTTCGTTCCGCTTAAGGGGAAAGATGGGAGGGGGGACCTTCTCTTAAACTCTTCACGTCACTGACTGTAGTTTTTGTCCACAGCACATATGATGTTGGGTTGAAGATCATTTTAGTCCCCTCAGGGAGAAAAACAAGGCATCCGGGGCCAACGTGCTATCGTTAGATTACTTCGATCAATTTTCACCAGGAGTATACGACAAGTTCATCTCCTCTTTACCCGTTACTTAACTGATTTGTTGATGTATGGATATGTGATTTCCGTGCAGTTCAGAAATGTAATTTAATTAGAATTAAAATTACTTTGCTCTAAACGTAGTTAATTACAAGCATACTATAATTTCATAAAGTAGAGCAAGTATTTCGCAATTATTTTCCTTTTAGAGCATTTTTCTGCACTGAGAAGTAATTGTCCATTCCTTCTGGCTATTGAGGGTCCATTGTACAACGTTTTGCATTCGTCACATTTTGGCCTTTGCTTCATCTACTTTATTAATAACAGGATATGGGAACTGAGTTTTTAAGAACGAAACGAATCGGTTTACTATTCGGCAACACCATCAAGATTAGTTGTTAGTATTTTTTTTATCGCGACAGATCAAAGTAAAAGTTATCTATTAGCGTCAGTAGGCACTGAAAGAATCTGATGGAAACATTCATTCCTTTTTCTGAAAATTGCTGGCAGAACCCTTCATGGGATATTCAGTGAACAGATCACAATCAGATTTAAGTGCAATTCTTGGTTGTCTCTCCTGACAATAGAAAGCACTCTCGCTTTATGCTGGAAATTTTCCGTTCCCCTCTGTGTTTGTTTATCTGCAGCGCGTCCGCGGACGGCGCCTTGGAGGGTGTTGCTTTCAGGTCTCCTGGGCCGTGAGTTGGCCGATAGGGCAATGATTTAATAAGGCAGGCACTCGATTTATGCCTGCCTCTCAGTGACCCCGTAGAAAGAAGCGCCAGCATGACAAAATCACGAAAAAGACACCTGTACTTGTAATTTAAATTTTGCAATTAATGAGGCTAAAAGTGAATAAATTACTACAATTATTTTTAGTCAGAGCAGTGAAGAATTTTTACACCCTTTTTAGTCGGGCATATTGTTGTTTGGTAAAACTTTCATTTTTGACGAGAGTAGAAAGGTCGTGGAAAATGGTGTTGCGGTTGCTGTACGGGACAGCTTTAACGGTGGTTGTTTTAGAGGCTGCATCCAATAACTATTGCCCGCAACGACGTTTTCTTTATTTAAAAATACGTTTCTTGAACTTCCACTTGTTATGTTTTACGCAAAATATGGACGAGAACAAAGCAACGTACTTGTAGCCTTCGTAATTGCGAAGGCGCTCACAGCTGATAACGGGTATCTTCCAATCGTCGGGTATATGAGGCGTTGAAGCAGTCAACAGCTATGTGCGTATACGCTGTGCGTGTCGCCTGTAAATTTCTTGCTCGTGAAAACACAACTCTAGGATGTATGCTGAAATCGCCAGCACCCATGTATTTTTAGAGTGTTAGCTAACAAACCAAGGGTGTTACTGTAGCAGCCTTGGGTTGTTAGTCCTGAGACAAGTTGACTGACACATTTAAAGTGTACCGTGCTTTTCACTCTTGCCCGCCTCCTCGTTTCCTGTATCCTCTGCACTTTTTACCTTGCACCAACTTGGCTCCCCTCGCTGCTTAGGAGAGGGGACCGCTAAGAGGATTATCTTCCCTGCAGAAAACCGAGGTTGTACGTCGGCCTTTAAGTATAATAAAAAAATTTAGTGTGTCACTAATTACAATTACGAATTCCCCAGAAAAAAAAATTATAATACAGGAATTCTATCGTTGCAATTCAATTACTGCTGAAGTATAAGCCTATTGAACTCGAGCGTTCTTTCCAGGAAACGAAGATTTATATCTCTATGCTTACGTGTACACTTTTGTTTGTTTCTTTCCAGTATCTCACCGGATTCGGCAATGAGTTTGCCTCTGAAGATCCTCGCTGTCCAGGATCACTACCTGAAGGACAGGTACGCTCTTTCATTTTTACAGCACGGATAAACGTCAACAAAAAAGTTGTCCGTGTTTTGACCGCCTTTTTTTCTCGCCTGGAATTTTCTAAATGTAATAATTATTTTTGTTCATCCATAAATTAAAAAAAAAGACGAAGAGAAAAGTCATAACAGCAGCAGACGTTTTTACCCACAGAAGATTTTACCCACGGGCCATTCTTCAACAATAAAAAAAAACTATATAGTGCCTTTTGTTAATAAAAAAGAGAGGTTTACAAATCTCTGTAACGCGAAATTAGAGCGCAGCTCTTGAGGAGGAGGAGGAGAGGCAGCCGAAGGAACTACGGGGAGAAGATTACGTGACCTCGCTCGGCTCGAAGCTGCAGCATAACGCCTGCTAATGTCAGCAGAGAGGGGGAGAGGAAGCGTCCTCCGAGATAGCACACGGGAACCTACACGGCACCCCCGAATTAACAGGTGTGATCCTGAAGACTGGGAGTGACTTGAGGGGCGCCAGAAATGACAATATTTATCTTTTTTTACACAACTACGACACGCAGGCGAAATCGGTTTTCTGTTCTTTACTTCAGAAGTGTCAGAGGGAAGCTTCCACAAAGTTTTGACCAAAAACCGAAAATTAAAGTCCCTGAATTTTTTTCTTCTTTTTTTAAGCAGCGTGGGACACGCGTGTCAAAAAGAAATTTGCGAAAAAAAAAAAAAAAAAACTACTATTGACAGCGCGAGGCGCGATTTAGTCGGCAGTCACCTCCTTTCCACTTGTTTTCTCTCTCGGCATTTCAGGCGCGTGGAGGAGAGGTGGATCGGCTTTGCCTTCACGTTGAGGTAGAAAGACCTAATGACCATCTCAGTAAGCGAATGACCATTCCGTGACGTCATGGACTTTGCGCGCAGAATTTCTAATAAATCTCTGGCCGTCATAATTGCTCTAAATTTTTTTTTCGCGTTACATTTATTTCTTGACGCGCGTGTCCCAACCAAACTGTTTAAAAAAAATTCTTTTCAGGGGCTAATTTTTCCTGCATTATTTCCTTCCACATCTTTCTCTCGACTTCTTTTATTTACTTTTTCAGAGATATAGTCCGTTCTGCCCCCACACTTGACTGATGGTATTTGAATTATAGTTTTCGGGTTCGGTTTGGTTCATTTAGTGTTCAAACGTTTCATGTATATAGCTAAAGTGAGCAAATTGTTTCACGAATGAGCAAGACGAACATGCACGTGGTTTCCTCGAAGGAAACGGGTTTGAAAACGTTTCCCGGTACTGAATGCAAGTCATGTTATAAATAGGAAATTTCAGTAAACCATGCAAGACGAAGTAATCACAAAACGCTAAGTTAATTTTATTATATTGTTTGTAGTCACTGAAAACTTCAGAAACGTAAGGTACGTTTCGACCATCCTATGCGGAGTGCAAGTTCGCCAGCTTCTTGAGCAGGGGTTCCGGTGACGTCAGAATGCCTAGCTCTGATTGGCTCCGATTGGAAGGATAGTGGGTAGACCACGAGGCAGCTCGCTTTGAGGTCTACCCACTACCCCTCCGGGAGAGCCAATCAAAGCTCGGCGTTCTGACGTCACCGGAACCCCTGCGCAATGAGCAGACAAACTCGCGCTCCGCATCAGCGCTGCTCCGCAGTCATAGGGGTCGGCATTAAACGAACGCCGAAGAACGAATCGCGGGGCAAGATTTAGCGTGATTGTAATGAACCCGGCGTTTCCGAAGTTGTCAGCGCTATAGTAATGAAATGTACATGTCTATATTAAAGCTATAGAGTAGATTGAAAAGGTTTGTGCTTGTAACCTCTGCCAGCGTGACAAAGACCGTGCCCATTTTCATCTTGCAGAATTCTCCTCAGGAATGCCCGTACGGTCTCTACGCCGAGCAGCTCTCGGGAACCGCATTCACGGCGCCGAGAGAAACCAACAAGAGAAGGTGCGACGTGCTCTCGCGTAGCGCCATTCACGTTTACCCTAAGACAAGAAACGGAGACAAACCTACAGACGGACCGCATTTTCATGCTATTTTCTTGTGTTCTTGACGTTCTCTTCAGTCAGGAACAAATTGTGGGAAGGACTTGCACCTCGTGGCAAGAAAAATAATTTCCAAATCCACTAGCTGTGAAAAAAAAAAAAAAAAAGGAGCGGGACGGCAATTGAGCATTAGAGAGACTAGATTTAAGAAAGAGAGAGAGATTAAAGCCGTGTAGAGCGTTTGCTGTTTAATGGCGGACCCCTCGTGGGCGGGGTGGGCGCAAATGCGCGTTGTGACGAGGAAGAAAGTGGGCGGTGTGGCGGAGTCCTTTGCAGACGGTCAATGCTCTCCTCGCAAAAAGTGGCCCATAGACCACGTAACCCCGACGGAGCAGTTGGAAACACTCTGAAATCTAAAGACCCTAACGAAAATTTTGATACTTAGTGCCATGCCATTGCAACGCCCGCCCCCCCCCCCCCCCCCCCCCCCCCCCCCACACACACATTTTCCGAAACACCTTTCGCCGTCCATGGCATCCAATATCCCGACACGCGTAAGCTGTGCACATACCTCGGCAAACCTCACTCATGAGGGCCCTCACTCACCCTCACTCACCCTCATCTTCACAGGTGAGGTGAGGGTGAGTGAGTTTCTGAACCAGGAAAATTCATGAGTGTGAGGGTGAGTGAGGGCTGTGAGGGCCGTGAGGGCCGTGAGGGCCCTGAGGGCGGTGAGGGCCGTGAGGGCGGTGAGGGCCGTGAGGGCCGTGAGGGCCATGAGTGCGTGAGGGGCGTGAGGGCGGTGAGTGGCGTGAGGGCCATGAGTGCGTGAGTGGTGTGAGGGCGGTGAATGCGTGAGGGGTGTGAGGGCCACGAGTGCGTGAGGGCAGTGAGTGGCATGAGAGGCGTGAGGGCCGTGAGGGCCGTGAGGGCGGTGAGTGCATGAGGTGTGTGAGGGCCATGAGGGCGGTGAGTGCGTGAGGCCCCCTTCAGATCGAGCATCTTTCTCAGCAATTTTGGTGGTAATGGTGGGTAATTGTTCTCTAGCTTTCCCTAGATCGACACGAATTGCTGAGATCGGGTCCGGCTCGAAATAAGCAAGCAACTCGGAGCAATTCGAGTACGTTTGAAGCGGCTGCATCCGATCAGGGACGCAAAATTTTCACGCGATAACTCGTGCCGGTGATGATGACACCGAATGACTTGGTTCTGGTTTGAAATCGATCGTTTTATTGGAAATAAACTGTTTCAGAAAGGTGCATTAGTATTCTTAACGAGGTTTAAATGCATAAAAACACGTTCATAACGCGTAATTGTGTCTAAATAGTGCAAGAAAAATAAAATGTTATGATGACGATGGCAAATTGCAGCAATTGGTTGCTGCGTGTGATCGCGGGCGGCCCGTGTTGCTGGTGTTGCGACGTAAAGTTTCTGGGCGAAATTGCCCCATCTGAAGCTGGCCTGAGTGACGTGAGGGCCATGAGTGCGTGAGGGGCGTGAGGCGTGTGAGGGCCGCATGGGCGGTGAGGGGCGTGAGGGCGGTAAGTGGCGTGAGGGCGGTGAGTGGCGTGAGGGCGGTGAGGGCCGTGAGGGCCGTGAGGGCGGTGAGTGGCGTGAGGGCTGTGAGTGCGTGAGGGCGGTGAGGGCCGTGAGGGCGGTGAGTGGCGTGAGGGCTATGAGTGCGTGAGGGCCGTGAGGGCGGTGAGGGCCGTGAGGGCGGTGAGTGTCGTGAGGGCGGTGAGTGTCGTGAGGGCCATGAGTGAGTGAGGGGCGTGAGGGCGGTGAGGGGCGTGAGGGCCGTGAGGGGCGTGAGGGCCGTGAGGGCGGTGAGTGCGTGAGGGCCGTGAGGTTTAGTGAGGGTGAGTGAAGGGCTGAAGGTGATTGTGAGGGTGAGGGTGAGTGAGGGGCTGAAGGTGAATGTAGCTGTGAGGGTGAGGGTGAGTGAGGGGCTTAGGTGAGTGTGGCTGTGAGGGTGAGGGTGAGTGAGGGCGACCTAAAATGCCGACCTCTGGCTGTGCATCGTCTCGATATGTTTTGTTTTGAGCTGTCTCTTTTTCTATTTTCTGACTTTTTTTTTATTTTATTTTTTATGGTTTTCCAATATAACGGAGGCTAAGATTTTACACTAACCGTGCTCATGCATCGTAGCTTTGGTTGTTTCTTCTTCGAAGAAACACGCGTTATTTCCTAAATGTATACTGATAGTCTGCGCCGGCGGCTCATGTGGATTGCTTTCTTTTCCGCAGCTGGCTGTACAGAATTCGTCCGTCGGTGCAGCATTCCCCATTTTCGAAGTACCCGAGTAACACCACCACCGACTGGAATGCCAACCACCCGAACCCCAACCAGGTATAACCACAGCCCGCTACTGCACGTCATTCCGTGCACTGGAGCAACTGATAAATGCCCACTGTTAGAAAGTACTTTAAGTACATTGTACTTAAAGTACTACTTCAAGTAGGTTTAGAAAACTTGTAATACTTGAAGTACGTTTTCTCTGTATGTACTTAAAGCTTTTTTTTTTTTTTTTCGGGTACTTTTTGCGGAAAGTACAATTAACTCCCGACTTTGAAGTACATTCCCCAAATTTGGTCTCGGTAAAATTAAGTTCTTTTAATGACAACGCGCTCGTGTACTTGGCTTTCCCAATAAAATAAAATCCACTCTAACCAAAAAAAAAAAAATGGCGTAGTGTTATGAGAAAACGCGCTATCGTCTTTCGAAACATTATCCAGTCATTTCTTTGAGTGAAGTAATGGTGGCTATAAGGCTGATACAAATAAGTGAATTATGAGTTCATTGTGTTAAAGAGTTCTTCAGTGAGAGTAAAACTATATGTCTTTGTCCACTTGACTTGATCCAATATTCGGATACCAGTTAGAAAAAACAAAAAGACACTGTATAGGGGAATGAAAGGGCATTATGGAAGATTGTGTTAAAAACTACTTGTACTTGAAATGGAATTGTATTTGAAGTATTTCACTTCAAGTACATTGCGCCCGGTGTGCTTACTACTTTACTTGAAGTGCATGACCTCTCATTTACTTTGTACCTTACTACAAGTACTTTTTTAGATGTACAGAGCGCGACACTGTTAGCGCGAACAAGCGATCGCCGGTTTTTTTCAATTTTTCTCTTTGAGACCAAGGGATGTCATTCAAGTTATTATTGCTACGTGAAAAAACTAATTTAGTTCTATAATGTAAGCGATAAAATTTCGTGCTCGCTAGTACTATCTACAAGTCACAGGGCGAAAATGCGCCGATGTCGTGTTCGCGCTAACAGTGTCGCGATGTGTACTAGCCAACAATGTAAATGCCGATGTTTAAAGCAAATGACTGGCCATAAAACAGCATATGAACTACCTTCGTTGGCGAAGACAGGAGGAAATTTAGCCTTTGGATGTGTATGCTACGCATTGTGTGCTATCAGCCATGTTCCTGTTGCCAAAATCAATATGACAAACGCATATCGTGACTGAAAAATATTTTGAAGGTTTTATATCTGCCGATTTGACACCATCATCACCGTCATCATTAACGACATACATTAAGGTAGATGGAATAAACCGAAAATACAGTCGATACAAATTCATAAATAATAAACATATGTCTCCGTTGTGTCAGGTTTTTCATTTTGTTTTATTATATTTCGAGCTACCCTATACCAGAATTTGCTGTTTTCGTACATATTAAACTGAGTCTGCTTATTAAATATTTTTAGCTATCTAAATGTCCAGAAGCGTATTATTATTGGGAAACTATAGCAAATCTGAAAATACGTTTCTTTAATTGCAGATGCGCTGGATGCCTTTCGACATTCCGGACCAAACGAAGGGCGAAGTCGACTTCGTGGACGTGAGAATTATCGACCCCTTTATTAAGCTCTAAAATATCTAATGAGATCAAAACATAAGTTAGGCAAAATTTCAACGCGATAATTATGACTGGGAAGAACGCTCCAAATATACGGGGTGTTCGATTTTATTCCAGACAGACTTATTAAAAAAGAAAGCCTGGAAATGTGGTGCGAAAAAGCGTGTGATAATCGTATTATTCGCGTTTTCGCGTACCCTTTTCACTTGCTTTTAAGTCTTTCTAAGATGTATTAATTTAGTGGTCGGTGACACTCAGCTGGTTTTTAATTGGAACCATATGTTTAGTTTACTAATTAAAAAGTAAATAATAAGTATTATTTCATTATTCTATTTATCGTGACGATTGTTTCTGTCTGTATGACGAACTTACGCAGACGGTACTAGGTACCTTTCACGGCTTTGTTTTTTAGCGAATTTCTTCGAATTAATATTAAACGTCTCGTATATGAGATCAGCAAAACAAGAAAGCTGATGCCAGTTGACATCTTCGTGTCGACCTTCAGGGACTGAACACCATCTGCGGCGCTGGAGACCCGAAAACACGTCACGGAATGGCCGTTCACATCTACTGCTGCAACATGTCCATGAAGGACAAGTAAGTCGGGGATTCCTTTGGGAATCCGGCCTTCCTTACGTTCCAGTTGTGAATCTTTGTAAAAATAACGGCATCAGTTGTCCTTACAAGGCTGTTTTTTTTTTTTTTTTTTTTTGTGTGTGTGTGCGTCTGCAGGGCCATGTACAACTCTGACGGAGACTTTCTGATCGGTAAGTTGTAAGGTTCCGTGTTTTCTATAAATACCGATAAACCTCGAAAAACAACCGCCGACCCGGTTTCAGCAAAATCGAGAAAAACCGATAAACCCCAAATTGAGGCTGTCCTTCGAACAAGAAAAATCCGAGCCTCGCCAAGAGAAAACTTTATCGACATCTTTGTCGTGCGTTAAACCCGAACACATCCCATTGAGCTGTCTGCGAGGCTGCTTCTTTCTCTGAGAAGCCCGCCCGTTGTCTCGTGTTCTTTTCTTATCAATTTACCGAACTTTTTTTTTTTTTAGGTATTTGGTTTGCGCGCATTTTTTGGGGGCATTGACGAATCCCATGCCTGCGCCCTTCTGTTTTCAACATCAATCGAGATAAACGTACGCCAGCTTATTTTATGTAGCACGAAAGATTGGCACATAGAAACACCAAAACCAAGAAAAAACGCTCTCGAATTTGATTTAAGATAAATTCCGAAGACAGGAAACCGCGGCTGCAAATAACCCGAGTACGGCAGAGTGGAGCTTCAATTGCCCCGCCTCCCGTGCAAGCTTCTTACCTTCGACGACGCTTCAACGTCCCGCGCACCTCGAGGGCGCGCGCAGTCAAAGCACGGCGGAAGGCATAGAGCGCGCGCTGGAGGTTGGGCGTTCGGAAAACACGCCCTGCCGTTCTCGTTCTTTCAGCGACTATGCGCCAAAAAGTGAGGGAGAGGAGGAGACGGGAGCGCCGGGGACGTCAGAACGCCGAGCTCTGATTGGAGGGATTAGTGGGTAGACCTAAAGCTAGCTGCCTTTGTATCCACTGCACTCGTCGAACGCGTTAGAACGAAGAAAGAATGCGTTTGGCTTTGGTTTTCGAACGCGTTCCACGAGTGCAGTGGATACAAAGGAGCGCAAGTTCGTCTACTCCTTTTGCAAGCGTTGTGGTGACGTCAGAACGCCGAGCTCTGATTGGCTCTGAATGAAAGATAGCGGGTAGACCTCGAGACAGCTTGCCTTGACGTCTACCCACTATTTTCCTTTTTTCAATCAGCCAATAAGAGCCCGGCGTACTGACGTCACCAGAGCCCTTGCAAAAGAAGCAGACGAACTCACGCTCCGCATAGCTTCCGATCTACCCACTAGTCTTTCCAATAGGAGCTCTGCGTTCTGCAATCCTCGGACTCTTTCGTCTCCTCTCTCTCACTTTCTCGGTGCATAGCTGACCCACTTCCTTACGGTTGGACAAATATAAATCGCTAAATGATTTCTTTTTTTTTTTCTTTTTTTTTTTTGGAGCGCAGCTTTTATGGCTCGTTTACACTTGCGAAATACGCACTCGCCGCCGACTGGATTCGCTCGCCGAAAAAAGATCGGACCGTTCACATCTGTTGCCGTCTGCGGAGTGCGCGGCGCAAGCGTCTCGCAGTTTCCCGAACACACAAGAGTTGACGAGAGCTCCGAAACCTCCTCCTTGCCCGCGCGCGTCTCGTCGCCATCGTCGCCAGCTCGTCAGCGGGGATTTGACGTCAGCAAGCCCCACTTGTCCCGTGCGTTCTGGTTGACTTCCGGCGCGAGAAAACTTTTTTCCGGCGATCGAAATTGGTCCCAGAGCGATCTTGCTCTCCGCCATAAATTCTGCCTGCTTTCGTCGCCGGGCGTCGGAATTCTCGCGGGTCCGGCCGCCGGTTCCTAAGTGTGAACGAGGCATGAGGCGCCCGTTTCCGGTTTGAGCGACGTCGCCGTGGCCGTCGCCGTCGGCATAACCGCGCGTTGCATTATGGGAAACCTCCCATGATGCAACGCTCGGGTCTCACTCGTGAGACCCGCGCGTTGCGGGTCTCACGTGTGACGTCACGAGAATCACGAGTGACGTCACGAGGGTCCCGCGCGTTGCATTATGGGAAACGTCCCACGATGCAACGCGCGGGACTTTCGTGACCCGCGTGTTGCATCATGGGACGTTTTCCATAATGACGTCACACGTAACGTCACGAGAATCACGAGCGACGTCACGCGGAGGGGGAGGATGAGGGGAAGAGAATGAGAGGAGAAGGAAGGAGGAGGAGAGAAGGAGGGAGGAGGAGAGGGTACGAACGAGGAGGAGGGGCATACCCTCCTCTCTGTACCCTCCCCTCCTCCTCCTCAATAGCTGCGCTCTAAATCGGCATTAAAGGGAGTTGTAAACGTCTTTTTCTTTTTTTCAGTGCCACAGCAAGGTGGCTTGTCCATCCTGACTGAGTTTGGCAGACTCCGTGTGGAGCCCAACGAGATCTGCGTGATCCAGGTAGGTCCGAGGGGGGGGGGGGGGGGGGGGGGGGGGCACGCATGGACGTTGCTCGCTTCGGCACTGGGGGCGAAACATATAGTCCGTTTCACTTGAAGTTCGACCGCAGCCGACGCTATCGGTCCACTGGAGCCAATCAGTCAGCTCGTTCTTTTTGCGGGCTTGCTATCACTGCTTAAACCAATCACGCGCAAAACAAAGAAAAAAAAGCCTTAGTTGGTAAAACTCGCAAAGGTGATGAGCACTGTGACGAAGATGAGACGGAGTATTGCTTCCCGAGTTTGTTTCACAGCATCATGTTTTGGCTGCCGAGTGCTGTAGCAATAAACTAGAATAAAAAAAGAAAGGCTTTGCAGCCTATACTTTGTTTTGTTTTACGTCAGAACGCAACAAACTTGTCTCGATTGTATGTTAGCCTTGAAGTTGGTACGCCTCAACCGGTGACCTGTCTCTCAGCTGTGGACGAGAAATATAGCCGGTGCAATACAACCAGTGCAGGGTCTTCAACGTGCATTACGGAGTAGTGATTACACGAACTAACAGACGTCATCACAACGCCTGCAAAAGAGGCAGACGAACTTGCGCTCCGCACTGGACTAGTCTTTGAGAAGAACCTCTGATACCTAAAACAGATTTTTTTTTCCCCCTTCGTTGTTCCCACGAAGTAATAAAATATGACGCCAAAAGACATCGTTTAGTCGAGTGTTGTTTGCTGCGTGCGAAGTCGAACATATTTGCAGAGATAAACGAACACATGCAATGGAAACCACAAAAACCAGCATGGAGGACAAGCGCTTAAGGTTACTTTAAAGAAGCACTGAAGTGAGCTTTCTGATGGCATTTTATGGCGCAAACTCAACCTACGCGTCCTAAACATACTGGGAAAAAACAAAATTACTGTCACGTGTCGCCTTTTTTCACTATTGAAACGCGACCATGCATCGTGACACGGCCCCGTTTTCTGAGATTAGGGAGTTTTCGTCGACAGCGTTTTCCCCTCCGCTAAGCCCTACGTAACGAAGAAGCCGCTACTGCGCCTGCACGCCGATGGCCTTCACTGTAGAGTTCCTGGTATAGTAGCGGGTTGCGGAGAGCATTACGGGACGGCGAAAACCATCTACGAAAACTCCCTATTAGGAAGCGTGTCGCGATGTTCGCTCGCGTTTTTATTGGGGAAAAAGGTCACGTATGATCGTAAACTCGGGCTTTCTGAGATGCATAGGGAACGTAGGTGAAAGTTGTGTCACGCATTTTTGCCGGCTCGAGTCTCGTAAAAATTAAGATGAATGAAATCTGCTATTTTTTATTAGGGAAGATATGCCTCCGACGGCTTGGTACTCCTCAAATATGCCGAGTTCTGATGAAAGCCCCGAGTGGCTAGTTCTCAACAAACTGAATTTGTGCGGAAAAGAAACAACGGTATTCTGAGTCGATAGCATTTTTTCGTGATTGCTCAGTCATTGGGAATCGTTTATGCGAAAATCTAAGAACGTATAAATGATTTCAATGTTCTGAACTTTAAACAAGCTTACGAACACTAGTCTGATGCAAGTGTTCTCGCGCGGTGTAGGCCACTGAGCAAGAATTGTCTCTTTGTTGCGTTGCGTAACCTCGAGGTTAGAAGAGGACTACTTCTTTAAATCTTTTCTCGGTAAGCTTGTCGTGGAGACTTCGATGTTCACGCAAAGCTGCCTCTGTGCCTCGAAGGCGGCCTTGCACCAGGTGGCGGGTTTGAATCCCGGCGGAGGTGCCTGCAATATGACGGAGGCTTATTGTGTAGATGGGACTGTGGGTCCGAGATTTCGGTTGCACGCCTCAGGTGGTCGAAATTAATTCTCAGCCCTCCGCTGCGCCGTGTCAGATGCCCTCCATTGGTTTATTTATTTATTTATTTATTTATTTATTTCCTACGTACATCACCCATGGGGAATTTTGCCGGGAGTTTGGTAAAACAAAGAAATATTGTTTTTTCACACATACAAAAAACACAGTAAACCAAAACACAAATATTTCGCAACAGTATAAAATACAAACAAGAATATTGAGAAGAAAAACTGTGTTTCGAAGCACAAATACTTTAATAAAGTGTAGAATGCACACAGATATTGCATAAAATTAATGTTTTAAAGAAAATTATGCATTTAATAAAAAGGTATCATTGAATCGGAAGTTTCTGTGACGACATACTCTCGGAGACAAATCCACTCATTAATCGATCTTAAAGAGAGGAAGTTTTTGAATAATTCCGTCCAGAATTTAAACTATTTCATTTTCAGTGGATGATTCACCCTTGTTGAAATGTTATCAAGGGTATGAAGATATTCGTCTTTGCTAATGCGCGTAAAGTTTAGGAAAATATTTCTAAAAAGTTTTATTCTGAGATATTTCCTCCGCGCAGCCAGCAGCTTCCAACCTAGCTGATATCTTTTTCTTTTTAATTGGTCATATTTAATATAGAACATAGCCTCCTCTATACTGACAAAGCCTGGCAGCTCGTCACGAGACGCGGCCGCCGAAAGTGAGAAGGTAGAGCGGCAGACAAGAGTCATGTAACGGGCGCCCCGCTGCGGCGAGACGCCGAAACACACTTGTCCCGAACGATGGAATGTCCGCTCGTGCTTCTCGCGTTCCTCGGGCTACCGCTTCTTTTCTCGTCGGGTTTGAAAATCATGTTTTGAGTCCTCGCCGCTGCAAAAGCTGTGCGCTGAATACCAGACAACCCGAGAAATGCTCCGTGGTACCAAATCCTCGCGCTCCAAATCTGCGACCGGGCACACTCTATGGCCCCGTCATCGAACTGCCATGCTTTGTGACTGTGAGTATAGAGGAGGCTATGTCTGGAGTTATAATTATTTGTAACAAATCTCACTACTCTATTTTGTACACGTTCAACTTTTGAAGATAAATTTAAAAAAAAATAGATCCCACATTGGACACACATACTCCAAGATTGGCCTAACGTTAGTTTTATATAACAATTCCTTGATGTTCTCTGGAGCTATTTTAAAATTACGTTCGATAAAATTTAGAGCATGGTTCGCTTTGATTATTATTGCGTCCACTTGCTTTGATCAAGAAAGAGTGCCGTTAAAATAAACCCCCAGATACTTGGCTTCCGTAACCCCTGTTAAGACAACGCGATTTAGTTTATATGTAGATAAGAAAGGGTCGCGCTTTTTGGTAAATCGAATATAATAGCATTCGTTAATATTTATAGGAATTTTCTACGCATTACACCATGACAATCTTCTATCAAGGTCAGTTTGAAGTAGAAAATAATCATTATCGTTGTTGACCTCACGATAATTGACACAATTATCCGCGCATAAAGGGATGCCGACGTTACATTTTCGGTTGAAATCATTAACATAAGCCAAAAAGAGAAGGGGCCCGAGTACAGACCCTCGGGGGACGCTTGACGTCAGCGCCGCACACGGGGATTTTACAGCATTTAAAGCTACACATTAAATGCGATAAAATAAGTTTTTCTTCTTTGTTTTTAACGTGAACGCAGTCGCGGGTGTTAACACCAGAGTGACAATAGTCAAATGCGGCTCTCGCATGGACTGGACACGACCACTGCGTGAACGCTCGACTTGTGCTCGGTTACAGTCAATGCCTTGGCGGCCATTCAAATTGAGGGTGGAGTTTAAAATCGCCGTGATGACGAAAATAGGCACACTGTAAGCGCTTTCTCAGCGCTTATCCCCCCATATGCGAGAAATGCTGAACCACTCGACTATGGAGGCATGCACGACATCTGATATTCAACTGAGGAGACCTATACGGCGCATGGCCAGAACGCGTTTCATAGCCCCACGGGGCGAAAATCGCAGGGCAGATTAAGCGATTATTGGAATGATCTGTATATACTTCATTTCACTTCAAGTCAGGGCACAATCAAAGGCTAGAAGACACGCAAGCACACACGCACAGACTACAACTGCAACATCGCATCGCGTTTTTCTATGTTTGGTTAGATTAGACGGCAATGACATACCCACGGGAAAAAAGAAAACGATAATCAGAGTAACTTTGTACTTTCAGCACTATTTGAATGGTTTTATCGACTCGGCGTCGACTGCGCTCCAAGTTGTAGGGTGAAACGAAGTATAGAAATGTTAGCGGCAGTGCTATACTGCGTTTCAGCTCAAGTCCAGACGCAGACGACGCGTAGTGTCACGTGACATATCAAGCAGCAGCGTCAAAGGCGCCAGTCACTAGGCCTTTTTCTGTTTCTGATTGACTGAGCAATGATAGGACACGTACAGAAGCACGACAAACACAACGATTTGGCGCTTTTTCACGCTGACTGATCGATACCATCAGCTCGTAGCGTCGACAGCGTCAGTACTTTAGGTGAAACAAGGTGTAGTTCCCTGCGAATTTCCAACGCCAGCGAGTGGCTGGGATGAACATTGGTCGCATTTAACCGGCAACAAATCACGTGGCCACTTGTTTTGCCTGCGAGTTATGGAGAGAGAGGAAAGCGTATTTAATGGAACAGAGAACTGAACTCGAGGACCAAAGCAGGTAACACAAGAGCGACGAAAACGTACGGACGCCAGCACCGGTTGCTATGATGGTGCCGCGCTACGCCCGTTTTATCACCTCGTTTCAATAAAGACGAGGTGGCTGCTTTTTTTTTTTTTTTTCGTTTTTCGTTCATCGTGTAGTGCGCGGAAAGAAAATCTGTTACGTGCAAAACAGATTATTCCAAACAATATTTACTAACCATTAAAAAAATCGTTTTAAACCACAAACGAGGCTAGTACCTCATGTGACGTCCATGCCATTTGTTCGAGGCTGTTGACGCTGAGTAATTTCTTGACGCCTCGGTTGTTATTTTATTTATGATCAGACTCAGGCTGCGTGACTAAATATACTTTTTTTCTTATTGCAGCAAGGCATGCGCTTTCAAGTGTACGTCTCCGGGCCGAGCCGGGGATACGTGCTAGAAGTGTACGACAACCATTTTGTTCTACCGAACTTGGGACCCATTGGTGAGTTTACGAGCACCACGCCTTTACCTGTCCAGTGATAAGCACGAATGGTGAACACAGCGAGGGCTTCGTGTTTGTGTCAGATCGTCTAGTTTCTAGCCGGGCTATTCAAACTAAAACGAGAACCTGGCTCGCAAATCGACTCATGGTGGAAAATATACGAGCACCTTGGAAAACATTTTTAGAAAAATATGAGACGTTTTCAATTCTCTGTAATGCCGAATTAGAGCGCAGCCCTTGAGGAGGAGGAACGGGGGGGGGGGGGGGGTACACACCTCCTCCCTCTCCGTACCCTCCCCTCCTCCTTACCTGCTGCCCTCCTATTTAGCGGCAAAATTTTCGCTAAATTTCCTGCTAAATTTAGCGGGGACTATTCCCACTATATTAAGCGGGAAAATTTAGCGACAATTTTCTTGCTAAATTTAGCGGGGAAACTGAATCGGTGTTGAGGTCACGTGACGTAAATTTCCCGCTAAATTTTGCGGGGAAACTTAACCCTCAAAATTTAGCGGGAGATTTCCCCGCTAAATTTAGCGGGAAAATTTTCCATCACGCGTGGCGCGTGGTTACGCCGACGCCGCTCGACCCGGAAACGGGGGCCTAAAAGCTGCAGCGCTCTAAAAGTAACATATTAAGACATCGGTCACGTTTGGTGTCTTCCTTCTGTTCTGTCCGTTACCGGGAACGGCGTCGCCAATATGATGCCGTTTAGTAAATTTAAGGTTTGTTCGTGCTAGAACTTAGTAAAGATTGCCTGGCACACATATTCTGCGCAATACAAGAACAAACACAAGTGTATTTGGCTTATTTAAAGAGACCATGAAATTATTTTTTAACTTCTTAGTCCTTAACTCTCCTCTTTAGCTCAAAAGCGAAATGAGAAATCACGCGGTCATGAATTGCTTAGGTACCGGTACGATGACTCCAAGCTTCCAACGTGCTTTTTAAGCATACCGTAGAACTTATCATTCGCAAGCGATGATAAGTGCTGTCACGGCACTTATAGGCCACGAACACGGATTCAAACATTCGTCAACGGATTGATTGTTGACGAGCGCGTAAGTCCATGTCATGCAGTGCTCGTGTCGAACGCGGCTCCCTCGCTTGGCTGGGAGAACTTTCGTTTCCGGTAGAAACGCATACTTTACGTCACGGCCACTTGATTTCACATGTCGGTGGCCGAGTCCGGTTGAGTTAAAGAGAAAAACAAATGTAAATATTCACGTCTTCTTTTTTTTTTTTTTAGCGAAATTGGAGGCAATAAAACGAAAAAGGATTCCTGCTTTGGTTTGGATGAACATTCAAGATGAATTGTGGTCCTCATTTGGGAAAAGCTGAAAAATAATTTCATGGTCCTTTTAGTATTCACTAATCACGCTGTCCGTATCGTGAGTGAAAATAATAGAGAGTTTTAGTGAGTCGTTTTGAGGCGAACGGTTCGTCTCCGAACGATTCGCTGATGCAACTGCGCATACGCGCACAAATTGCCCGGGAACTTGAGAACGGTTCGACTGAATCGCCACAATTTCCGGCACCTGACTAGCGTGAATGAGGAAGACTCAAAGCCTTTTAACTAGCCGCATGCAGGAGGACGAGCTAGGACGAACGGTGCAACGCACACCTCAAGGCGGCCCAATAAAGAAGCTGGTATCGTTTCGGAGCGAAAGGTTCGTCCACGAATGATTCGTCGACGCATCTGCGTATGCCGTCCTGAAAAAGCTTCGCATCCATTTGATCTCCTCCGACCGGTAGGGCATCGGAGTCGCGATTATGAGGCCGAGATTCCAGTCTGTGTATTTAAATAAAGGCGAGGAACTGGTAAATTATCACTTTGAAGGTCATTAGTTAGTTTTTGCTTCTAGGTGATGTTGTTGTTGTTGTTGTGGCTTTTGTTATACAATAAATTACTGAAGGCAGTCATTATAGAAACTAAAACTAAAATTATGTGTTTGCCTTCAAAAGCTCCGAAAAAACAAAAACGTCCATCACCGCCCAACATGCAATTTGAGAACAACATGCCAATGCTTGGAAGTGAGTATGATAACATATATACTTGCCAGCTCGACGGTGTTCTTTGCGTACGCCGTCGTGCTGTCTTTTAAGTGGACATCTTGGTTAAATAAACGAGTGCAACGGAACGTGTGGTGACTGAACCTATGCCGTGTCTGCGGGGACATCGATACTCAGTCCTTTCGAAGTTTGTAAGCTGGCCATGTCATATTTCCGCGTGCATGACCAAGAAGGAACGCTTCTCCGTACATACACAAGATTCTTGTTTACTCTTACCTCGAGTGTGAAAGATAAGAAGGCCAGAATGACCTTCCCGAGTCAGCTCGCTGCCGAGCATTCTAGGTCGAATATTCGAGATACCGAGTGCGGTAGATCAGGAGCCGAGAGCGGCCTTGCCGACCCCTCAGACTCTCACAACCACGAGGCACACTCCCTCGCAGTCTCGCTCCAGCCAGCTGTTACCTTGACACCGCGACGCTCGCTGCTGCTGTATCGGCGCTCATTCTTTCTTTTGTTTCTGGCACAACTTCGTCGATTAAACCTTTATTTTCAGTTTACGCTCGTCGAGCCTTTTCCATTTGCGATAACATATCGAGCCAACGCCCCCGCATATGTGGGGGCGCCGATGAAGCGCTTGGCAATAAATCTTTATATTCCAGACTAAACCACAGCTGCCTTATTATATCACATTGAGATGTGGCTTGCACAGCTCGCCCAAAGTGCTCCACCCACCACGTTGAAAGGCCTTAAGTCGTCTCCGTTGATGGTAGTCAGGTGCCGCGAATCATAACAGTTAGCTATGCTGGGCCCTTCCCAAGCTCCTTCGGGGACAAACCGGTCGCCTCAAAACTACTCATTAAACTTCGATTTCCTTATAGTTGCGAACCATCCAAGCGCAAATGCGCAGTGACGTTGGCGAATCGTTCGAGGACGAACTGTTCGCGGAAAAATGACAAAGCTCGTTACTTTCTTTTTTTTAATTTCTGTGGCAGAAATATACGAGCCCCTTTCAGTTATCGCGAAAAATGTTTATGCAGGATCAGTTTTACTCAGACTTGGAAGTAATTTGTTAGAACTAACGGGATTACTTGTAATAAATTACTTTTCTTGTAATTTAATCATTAATCCGTCACTTTTTTTTAAAGAAAGTGTAATTTGTAGTGTAATCGCATTACTTTTTGAGTGACGAGTTACCGAAAATTCTTGTCACAATTCTTCCATCCTGTCAAAGAGATACAGTGGAAGAAGGGCGATGCATTGGCCTTCACGCTTTTGGCACGGTAACACAAGACGGGAGTTCACTAGCGAAGACAGCGCTGGCGAGGGAAAGGAAAGAAAATCACAGAATGCACCACAGGCCAGCTAGAGCCCGTTTCTGGAATCGTTCGTATTGTCAGCCAGCATGGGAGGATTGGACTGTTTATATAGAGGCAACAGTCTTTGACTTCATAGAAAACGAACGGACCGTTTCGAATGCACAGAAGAGCAGAAAACAAATGGCCCACCAAACCATCGCGTGAGGTTCGTGAGGAGTAGGGCCGTGGATACCCTGACCTGGGTGCATATATCCGCTCCCTAACGCCCCCCCTCCCCCCCCCCCCCCCCCCCCCCACCAATCCGCCCTCTCTCTCCTCCTCCTACCCTCTTTATCCCTCTGCACCTTATCCGCAAAAAACCAATCAGCGGTTTTTTTTTTTTAATTTGTCACATTAAACCGTCTTCTTCTTGTCGATGTTTCTGCCTACACACGCGCACCCCGCAAACACTGAAAAAGTTCTAATGAGACCTTGCCCCTGCTCATCCTTGACAGCACTGTGCAAGCTAAATGCTAACTGGACCAACCAGATATGTGGCTTATGTCACTTGATTTCGCACAAGCGGATGCGGAAGGGGGAAATATGAGGGCTGCGATGGGCAGCAGTTCATTGGAACAGAAAAAATGTAGCACCAACTTTGCTGAGCAGGCACTAAGCTAGCCGGGAGCACAACAAAAATGGCTCGGGTCTTCGAAGCTCTACCCATAATCTTAGAAACGAGAATGCTGGGGTCCTCGTCAACGGATTGTGTTTGCGGGAACTTAGGCCGACATCCTAGGCCAAGGGTTTCAAACTCGTTTGAGTGCGGGGGCCAGGTAGCCCACCCCCAAAATATTAAATGTAAAGTGCCAACATAGGGCGGGGGTGTGTGTGTGTGTGTGTGTGGGGGGGGGGGGGGGGGGGGGAGGGGTCCGAACCAGATGCCATAGTTTTAGCATTAAGCGTTGTGTTATTCAAAAGCTATAAGGGATTTACTGAAATTTTCAATGAGGAAATAGAGCCCATTTTCACCCATTTTCAGTAATTGGCGCCATAGAGCTCCGCGTATTCGAGAGCTCTGTCGGTTGTCCTTTTCCCATTGAAAATTTTAGTAGATCCCTTCTAACTTTCGAATAACACAACGTTTAGTTCTGAAACTTTGGCATCTGGTTCGTACCTCTAGCGTTACATTTGGGCGGAGAATGAGCGTTCGGCAATGCATACTGTACTTGTGCAGTAAAAAAAAAAAAACATTTTTTACACCCTGTTTACTAGGACAAAAAAAAATTCTGCAATGGTGTTCCGCGTTACAAAACAGCTGAGTCGTTCAGTCACACCCAGAGATTTCCTAAAGGAGGGATCTCGTGCTATCTGCTTTTTGTAAAATAGCCACTTGGCCAGTGTCGTCTATAGCTCTGATATATTCGTACAAATAATTCGGGCTTGTACCTAGCGGGATTACAAGTTTTAAAGTACTATCATCTAGCCTACACGCTGGAAGCCTACAACACAACTAGAAATCAAGCACACTATCGTTACTATGTCACTCAATTCAGTCGGGAAGTATCCGATTTCAATATGTCTCGAAATAAATTCTTTTCGTGCGGTATTGTTGGCTTTCCTGACGATTTTTATAGCAAAATACAAGAAAACACTTTTGTCTCGGCGGTATGTAAGACCAAATAATCCACGATCTGAAAGAAAACAGATTAGTGTCAGATATGTTAAAACGTCATAAGAGCAGAGCTACGTTTCCACTGGAAATGAATGAACGACAAGAGGCCATTATATATCGCGCATGCAGCGCACTGGAGGCATAGAAACAGAAGCTCGCAGACATGGGACACTTGCGGGCCGTGTGTTTGAGACTCCTGTTTTACGAAAAAAAAAAAGAACAGGCCAATGTTTTTGAGAATAAACAGTGGCTGACTGGGACACGAGTTGGGATAGCGTGAGGCGGCTGTAACGCGTGAGAGACATGGAAGCCCACTGTCATTGACAATTTCTTTTTTAATAATTTCTAAACGGCAGAATTAGTTTAGCTGAAAGATTGCGCAGTAATATTACGTGTAAAGAAATATTTACTGTGTGTTCTGATAAGTTTGGTGATCAAGAAAGAAGATCAAGTGCGTCATTCGGTCGAATAACAACCTTCGTCAAAGAGGTGTTTTTGAAATGTACCCAAACGCAAGTACCGCATCTCGGCCTCAAACGGCCAGTCAGTCCTAGTGGGTAAACCAGCCCCTATCTAGGCAATATGCAGCAACCATAAAAAAAAAAAAACAAAGAAAAACATCTTCAGGGGAATCATCGTGTTTTGAAGTTTGCCGATGCCAAACTCGAATTAATTCGAATGGTATGCGTGCCTCCACCGTACAAATGTAATCGTCGCATGTTCATGGAATTTAGTTCTGTCTATCCCGGTTGAACAGCGCAAAACTCGTGTAGTTTGAACACCTCGAGTACTCTAAAATTTTAGATTCGTCCTCCTAAAATTATTGATCTTAAATCATGGTTAAATAGTACTGAATGTGTTTTATTTGTGTTTTACTTCTGTTTTATTTTTTATGTGACCCTAAATGTCTCCCCTCAAACACTCAGTATATGTATATTGCACGTGTTGTGTGTGCTTCTTTGGAGCAATGTAAAAGTAATCGAGTAAAGTAACGAAGTAATTAATCAATGGCTTTTGTGGGGAGTAACTTGCAACAGTAATCAATTACTTTTGAGGCCAAGCAATTTTAATTTTAATTTTTTTTTTTTTTTTTTTTTAGATTAACGGGCGCAAGTCTGGTTCTAGTTTCTACCGTCTGCGGGGCAGAAATCATAGCGGGGCCGACGCGCAGCATTGGGAGTGGGCTTCCCTTGCATAAGACGGAGCTTGCAGCAAAGCCCCCTTTAGGTGCTTGGCTCGAGTTCTGACGGTGCACCGTTGTCGCAGGTGCCAACGGACTGGCCAACCCGAGGGACTTCAAGACGCCGACGGCCTGGTTCGAGGACCGGGAAGTGAGCAACTTCGCCATCGTCAACAAGTACCAGGGCTTCTTTTTCAAGGCCACCCAGGTAAGAAGCTTTGGATGCAGCATAAAAAGCATGCCATGGACGTATTTTAACTCAGGCGTGTCCGAGGGACAGTGACGTATAAGAAATACGACTTCTGAATATGTTGCATGGGAGCGATATTTACACAATAAATTTATAGTTACAATCTATGTTCTTTTACCAATTGGCGTTTAGTATTAGTGTTTAATTTGAATGACACAACTCTCCGCAAGTCATTCATTGTTTTTTTTTGTTTTTTTTTTTTCTAAAGAGGTGTAGAGATAAAATAAAACCTGGAAATGGTACTGAGGAAAACTATGGTACACCTTATATTTTGATTAGTCTTATTGTACATAAGGAAATTTTTAACGCCGTAAAATATATCTTCATCTAGTTTTGCTCGGAGCCTGAAAAGAGAATGGTGCGCACAAAACAAAAAGAGCTAGCGCTAGGAAATATTTGGCAGGCGAAAATCGCATGCTTGGTGCCCGAGCACCGATCGCGTGTTTGCGTCAAAGCCCGTCATTTCGATGGAAGCATTTTCATAGTTTTTCCGTTTACGGGAGTGATTCATAATCCGATTGCTCTTGAATGATGTAAAATAAACGGATTTTTTTTTTAAAGTGTAGAATATCTTAATACGCCATGTTTTGTTAATAAACGTCTGGCTATTCAATAGGGTATTCTAGGGTTCTAGGTCGATAATATGCTCAACGAGTTGTGATATTAATCTTGTCCTGAGTTCACTGGAATTTTTTATGTTTTTTTTTTTTAACCAAGTGGAATTAGTATTATGTTTTCTCTGTAAACGTCTAGATAATTTCGACCTTAAAAATAAAGAACACAGCTATAGCCGAACAGTCTAGTACGATATGTGACTGCAGATCATTTAGCTTCTGCTCGGAGCAAAAATGTATGTTGCTAACAAAGAATACCACAAGGCTTCTCAACTTAGTTTTGTACCTTGCCAAATAGCCCTCAAATTCTTTTTTCTATGGCTCTATACGGCGACGGAAAATGGCGCCGGTTTTTATCAGCGGGCACACTGCAAATTAGTGCAACCCGATCTTTTGTCACAGCAGCTAATCAAATATATGCTACGTTAGTTCTCGTTTTCTTACCTTACCGAACACGGAACGAGCGATTCCGTGCTGTCAAAAACCTTTCAGAACAGCCTCGTTGGACGACGACTCATTGGCAAACCGACTTTCTTTTCCGGTGGTTCATCTACATTCTGCCGGAGAGGCGTTAGCAAAAGCTTTTTCGTCCTCAAGAGAGGCCTAAACCCATTACGAAATGGGAATCGTGGTCTCGAAATACGTGACTTTCACTGACGTCATATCGGCTGCTATTTCGGTGCAGACTTGTGCGGTACTCATTACAAGTAATTAAATTTCATGTAATCGATTACTTTTTGGAGTAATTTTGTAATCATTTGAATACTTTTATCAGGAAATAATCAGAAGAGTAATATTGTTACTTTTGGACATCCTAAAACTGCTTGCAACTGTTAACTATCCTCCGACCCCTTTTAATGACAAGTTTCCAACAAAGGCATTCTCGAACCAAGTTTCCAACAGGAGGGCGGTCTATCGAAATATTGGCGGATTAAAAGATGAGTGGTCTATAATTCGGTGATTGTAATCCGAAGAATGTATCGTACAAAAGGCCCGTTTTCAAACTGGCGGAAAAATTTGCGTTTTGGTAGTCTGAAGTAATCGGAAGTAACGGTCATTATTTCAAGTGATGGCCCATTCATTTTCTTCCCAGCGGGGAGGTAATCTGTTTGAATACGTGTCGACCAAAAGTAATTATAATTGTAATCGAGTACTCTTTTTCGAGTAACGTGTACAAGACTGTGTGCTGGCCTAGCTTCTGAGCGCGTATACCTACTGCAGCCTGCATTTCGCACCACAGAATTTGTGGTTTTCCGAAGAACCGAGTAGAAATAACGACCAGGATTTGGGTGACGACGTCACGTGCGAGCCATGTATTGTTCACACATGTACCTTACAAGGCGAGTTATCTGGGCACCACCTTTTTGAATGCGCATCTTTAACGTTCGTACTAAGACCTTTTCCCAGAAACTAAACTAACTGTATCTATTCAGTAAATTATTTAAACCAACAATGCCCAAAATATATTTTAAAAAAAATATCTCGGGATAAACCATGTAGGTTCGCCGATACCAGCATGCTGGGTTAAGGTGCTGCGTGGCATGGCTCACAAAAGAAAATATGTTCATTGTTTTTGAACGAACCGCGACCGTGTTTGTTGTCGCAGGACCATTCTCCCTTTGACGTGGTGGCCTGGCATGGAAACTACGCGCCCTACAAATATGACCTGGACAACTTCATGACCATCAACACGGTTTCCTTCGATCACTGTGTACGTATCCACTTTTTACTTTTTTCTTATATGTTCATTTCAAAAGGATTTATTATCTAAATATAAATTGCAGCTCTAGTTTATAAAAGAAACTATCGACACTGCTTCAAACATCTCTCCAGGTAAAAAGTTCCGGAGGTTCAATGTGCAACTAAGCGAACAACAAACTTTTGTATTTTCAAATCTAAGTAAAGTATTTACGTCGCATCGCATTCTTTTTCAACATGTTGCAATCTTTTCTCTTCGTCAAAAAAACTGCGCTTCAAAATGTACCTTCCAGACCGACATTTTCGTTGTTCCTTCGTTGTACTCTTTGGCCCCACCTTGGGTTCCATTGTGGTCGGTTTGCCTTGCTGCATACCCGATCCGAAGGAATAACACGGAGCCAACGGTTTCAAAAACAACAATCTACATTTATTTGGACATGGACAAGACGATTAACATTGTTACCAGCGGCGCCCGAGTCCAGGCAGCGACTCCCTGTGCGCCGCCTCTGATCCGCCTTATCAAGGCGGCGCACGCGAGTCGCTGCCCGGACTCAGGCGCCGCTGGTATAATCATCTCTTCACCTTGTAACCTTGTAACCTTCATTTTTAACGTAACTCCATATATTAAATACAAAAAAGGGATCAGTGGTCCAGTGGGTTAACGCATCGCAGCTCCGAGCACGTGGAGTGAAAGCTCGCGCTGCAGAACCCAGAGATCCTTGGTTTAATCACCACCCCTGCTCATATCGACATAGATGAGCATCTTACCGGCGTGCGTTCGTGTATCACTATTACGTGATGCACGTTAAACAGGGGTTTCCCCAGGAATCGAAATTGGGGGGTCTAAATTTTTATTAGGGGTGGGGGGGGGGGGGGGGGGGGGGGGCATTGAGAATAGAGGAATCGTTGCGAACTAAGGGGGGTGCCTTCAGAAAAACAAGGGGGAGTGTACACCCCCCCCCCCCCTAGGGGGTGCGTAGCGAAATCACTGACGTTAAAGACCCCAGTTTGGCAGTGATACTGCACTGGCTAAATTTCTCATCTACAGATGAGAAACCAGTCGCTCATTGGGACTGACTAATTTCCGGCTCTCCAAACATAAGCACAACACAATTACTAGTTTTGACGTTGTATATTCGTTAGTGTGCGTCTTTAAATGCCAGTAAGGATGCGCCGAATGCCTTCGAAGTACTAAGTGTACGGGTGGGCGCTTTTCTGATGCAATGCAGCTACGCGAATGTTTTATTTAGTTTTAATGGGGCCTTTTCTGTACACGCATGGTGGTTCAGGACCCTTCAATCTTCACCGTGTTGACCTGTCTGTCAATGAAACCTGGAACGGCGATCGCCGACTTCGTCATCTTCCCACCACGTTGGGCAGTGGCAGAGCGTACCTTCAGGCCTCCTTACTACCACAGTAAGAAATGCTCAATGTTTTCTACACGGGTATATGGCATGAACATGATTTTGTATTATAAAGAACTGAGTGAATGCTGAGCGTGCTGCAGCACTAAATGCTAACCTGACCAAAGCTATTCTTGCTTCGGAATATAATTATAAGTGCTATTAAACTGCGAGGGTGCCGAGTTTATAATGTGACCTATAGGCTATCGAAAGATAATTGTTTTATACAATTATAATAAATCAGCAAGCACGGCTTTCTTCTTTAGACGAACGCATTGGTGGAGTGTAATATTTAAGAATGAGACATAGAAAGAGAGAACCTGGACGGCACACTTTTTATATTCTGTTCGTCTTTGCCCTTCTATGTTTAATTATTATTTTTTTTACACAATTTAACTTTAAGATCTTCTTGAGGTGACCGGAGGAATTAAAAACAAAATCTGCGTACTGAGCAAACTTTGCTTCCCGAGAAATCACCATAGAGGTAGCTTAAAACGAAGTATTCTATATTTCCTTAAATAAGAGTTCTTGCGTACTTGTATAATAAAGAGTGTTTTTTGGTTTGATATTTTTAATATTCATTCTAGACGGGAATTTCAAATTCCTTCACATCGATGGCCTTTAAAAAATCGGCGAATCAGATCGCGATGACGACTGTGCGTGTGCCCCTCGGCAGGACGTGGTTCGCCAATTTTTATAAATTTGGCACGAGAGCCTTCGAAATTCCTGTTAAACAGGTGCGGCGTATAACATTCTTGAGAGACTACGAGCCAATATAAATAATGGGCCGCTTTTTAGGTAGTTTTCACCGTGAACGCTCTCGAAGAGGAGCCTTCCGAAATATTTTATGTTTGACATTTTTTTAGAGCTGATACATATTCCGTAGCCTATTTCTTCGATACACCTATTGCCGAATTGCCCAAGCATCGAGGAGAAGGCTGGAAATACAGGTCTACGCGCCACACGCGATCGCCTTCCCTGTATAAAAGATTCAAAGTAAATAACCAAACTAAAACGGCATCTCGCACGCGCGTTCGTCAACGCCTTTTTTATTTATTTACATTAATTTTTTTTTATACGGGAAAGGCGAGCACGTGTGGAGCGTAGACCTACATTCCGAGCATTCACGTTGCGCCTTGGGTACAATGGGTATATAGTGATGCAATGATGCCTATTTCCATAAACAATTAGATTGCTGCTAACGTGACACAAAATTAATAGGATCAAGCCAGGGCATCCGTTGCATAAAAGATTACATTTTTGTGCGAAGCGCTACATTATACTGTCGAAAACACCCCAAATTAATGTTTCCCTGCCGCGTCGTGTGTTTGCTGAAAAAATTCAAGTCAAATCGAAACCAGAAAACCAGCGTGAAGGAACGCGACTTTAGTCACTTCCGGAGTTTGGCGAGTTTTTTTTTTTTTTTTTTGCTCAGCGCGATTAATAAGTTGTTTTTTGTTTTGTTTTTACCATTTTATTTCTACTATTGGATCGCTAGAAACATTGAGTTTTATAAATTGCATTATTTCTTGTAATAGAGATGCGTTTCAGAAATAAGTTCAAAATCGCCATCACACATGGCTGACGAAAAGAGAGTGAGAGCGAAAGTGACAGAACAATCCGTGCTTAAAGTAAAATTGTAATTGCGTGTATGTTTATACAGACGAGAGTTCTTCGGCCTCAATGGGCGTTTGGTGTCTCGGCTGTAGATGAAAAATTTTGCCAGTGCAGTAGCACCAGACTGTCGAACCGAAATTGTTGTCGATTCGGTTCGGGTTAGGGTTCACGGGTTAGGTTCAGTTCCGCTTAAGTTCCGGAAAGTCAAAATAACGGTTCAAACCGGTTCGAACTGGTTTGATCCAGTCTAAACTGATCATATATTTTCCGCGTTGTTTCGGCTATAGGAACTAACCCGCCGTGAAAGAGTAACTATACTGTATAGTTCTTTATCGTTCGTACAATCTACTTTTATTTTCAGGTACCACAAAATAACAAACTGCGATATTTAATTGCGACTAAACGGTACAAGGAATTCTAGATTAACATAAAAAAAACGTCGTGTTTATACGACTCAACATCCATTTGTTTACCTCAGTCACATATATCTCGCTTGAATCGAAAGGTTGTCACGAAGTGCGGTAGGTCGCCTAAAATACCCGCGATTAGTACAACTTTGCGTCGCAGTCGCAGGGCGGGCGGGCGACGGGGGCGGCTGCCTTTCCCCTCAAACAAAGTCGACTCCTCCCCGAGCTTTCCCCCTTCTCGGGGGGCAATTTGACATGGGGGGACCCCGCGGTACACACGAAAAAATGGGAGAATAGTATCCTTACAAATTTTCCGCACCCCCCCCCCCCCCCAAAAAAGAAACAACAAAAAAAAAAACACAACCAAAAACAAAAACAAAAAACAAAAAAAACGGAGTTCTGGATCCGCCCCTGCGTCCGCCGGTGACCTCCGCGGGAAGGGAAAAGTAGGGATTTTTCATTATTACCAGTAGAGAGTCGCCTCCTGGAACCGTCGCGGCCGGTGTAACTTGAAAATGTAAGAGCTTCACGGAAAGATTTTATTTTTACAAAATATTTTGACAAAGGCAGCTAGCTTTAGGCCTACCCACTAATCGTTCGAACCACGCAGAGTTCGGCGTTCTGAAGTCCTTGCGCACTCTCGTCTCCTCCTCTTCCTCAGTTTGTCGGCGAATATAAACGCATAAATACCTTATCAGAGACTCTTTAATTAAGGAGCTCGTTCGAAATCAGGTTACATTTGTGGGCGGGAGCGTAAACAAATATGGCTGTTAGACACGTATATGTCGGCTTTGTTTCTTCTTTCCACAGGAAACTGCATGAGTGAGTTCATGGGTCTCATCACCGGTAAATACGAGGCCAAGGTAAGTCGACGCTTTCAACAATATGTACGCCTACTGAACACATCTGTGCAAGTTACCGCGAGCAGACCCACCTCTCGAAGGAGCTCACTGCGATGACACGCAGTTCTTTTGGCTTCTCGAGGCTATGGCCCATAGGAAGCGTAACGGGCGGCAGTTTAGGGCCGAAGTCCTTGAACGGAAACCGCACGGTTATTCCTAGATAATCCACGAACCCTATACATCCGACTCGCTCCGGCACAAAGGATCAGACGCATCTTCCAAAAACTCGAGTTGGGAATCGGAACGAAATTTGAACACGGGGAAATTTTTTTATATTGTTGAACGATTTTTGGATGTATCTATTTCTGTCCGATTTCCGCCTTTCAGCCTTAAAGTGAGAGTGATGCGGACAAAGGCTTGGGGGCCTCACTTGTTCCCCCACTAAGTCGGAGTTACTAGTCGTGGCAAAACACGCTCGCGGACAAACCGATCTTCCCCTCAACATCACACTAGATGACCAGCCTGTCCCGCTTAAATCGGCCATATGGGTGTTCGGCTTCACGTTGCAATCCAACACTAATGCAACACAAACCCTTACCAACTCACCACCCAGTCCAACCAAATCATGCACATGATACGCCGCGTCTCTAACCGCCGAAATGGCCTTAAAGAAGCAGGTGCCTTACGCCTTGTCCAGGCCTTGATTCATACACGCCTACTCTACCACCTACCGTACCACAACCTCACCCAGACCGAACACAGACGTATGTCTACCCTACTACGGAAAGCGCAGAAACTGGCGCTCGGTTTCCCCGTTCGCACAGCCACCGTTTGCCTAGAGCGGCGTGATTAACACCCTGAAGGAACTTATAGAAGCGCATGGAGGCTGCCCAGTTGACGCGCTTGCGCTCGACGGCTCAAGGGCAGAGTCTCCTTGCCACCCTTGGTTTCCCACACTGTCCTGCTTCCCTTACCTCTGCGGGTCTCTCCCCCGCTGCTCGCGCCAAGCTCGCTGTCGCGACTCCACTCATTTTCCAAAATGGCGGTTTTATTGAGGGTCGGAGATCCGTGCCGCTGTTGAGCCTGTCTAGCGTGCTGGCTTCACTGAGCGACACAAATTATTTCTGGTAATACGAGGAAGCTAGCGTGTTATGACCGTCGGTCATCTTTTTACTCTGAAAACAAGAACGGTATTTAGCCTAATATTTGCGCAAGGATGCGCGTTTTAATTCTGGAGCGAAACCGAAACTAACCTCTATTTTGGATTTAATTTCTCGATAGAGGTTTTAATTTCGGATTCTTTCATAACTCAAGATGTGTCTCACATCGTAATTATTTAGTTCGAGAAGTTGTTCGCGGACACTTTATTATATGACATACATATTCGATCCAGGCTGATGTTTGTAGTTCTTGAAAAAATCAGTGCTGATAGTTGTGCATTCTCGCTGCCTTTTCTTGCTCAGACAATTGTCATGGGAAGGAGTTTGAGTTTTTGGTGTTTTGGGTGTTTAGATGATTAATCGGTTTAACATTGTTCCCAGCACAAGAATAAGAGAATAATTTTAATTTTTACAAAATGTCCACAAAACGTATAAATTAATAAACGCTGTTCTCACTGCAACAACCCAAAGACGGAATCTGAGTCAAACAGCTCAAGTGTGTGTGCGTTTTTATCGCAACGCGTGACGCATAGGACTTCATATTACATCCAGTGTTTGACTGTTTGTCTATCTTGATAACTATGTCAGAGTTTTTCCCCCATATGCTAAAAGAAAACAAAATTAACCTTTCTGGAAAGACTATTATGGTTAAATGGCATATTTTCGTGATCTTGGCGTCAATTGGGGGCATACATTACCGCGATTTGTGTTAGTAATAATAATATTAAAATTCAGATATTTTAATACGTAATTTTTCAAGCTCGAATATAATTCGTTGCTTATAATCCAATTTTAAATGCGCGAACAAATATGACAATCAAAAGTGTGCTACTTAATTATCATCACTGGTGCGAATTGCAGCATTTTTAACTACCAAATAATAAAATAAAAATAGTCTAAAATATATGAGAACATTCTAGCTAATGTGAGAAATCCATGCAAAATTACATTAATTGTGGGTAAAGTATAATTTGCTATCAAAGTCACGATTTTTGACATCCGGCAAAACGTTTGAATTCGCCGCCAATATCCTTCCCACCAGACCAAATCCCCAAAAGTAAAAAAATAAATAAGATTTTTTTTTATTATATAATATTTTTATAACATATAGGTACTTCCATTCTTACGCTTTCCGTCGTTCTGCCAATCTCAGCCTTTCCAGTTCGAAGGAACGCCTACCTGCTTGCACGTCAGCTCACTGCAGCACGTTTCGTTAGCGTTAGAAGACGGTGAAAAAGTAGTGAGTTTTAGTATTTCGTATACGAGCGAATGCAAACACGATGTATTTGCGCTAGCTTTGCGTGTTCCACACTGCGCGTGCGCGGAGCCCAAAATTGCGGTCTTGGATGGCGCATGGCGATGAGGCGCACGCACAACGTAGGGCACGCAACTCTAACACTAACGCACAGCGGCTTCGTTTGCTTCTATGCGCAATACTAAAACTCTCCAGTAAGGTACAATCCATACCGGCTGCATTCCTACGTTGGGACAGTGAAGAGTGTTGTGTGCATTCGGAAATGACATTTTGCGAGCCATGATCGCGAGCAGTTCCGCCGTGCCCGCTGAGCAGGAGAACCGGGGGACCCTCACTAGAGCGCTTCCCGCTTCCGCCGCGGGAGGGCGAGTGTCGAGCTGGAGACGCGAATTCCCCGCCATATGCATCCACCCGTCACTCGGCCGGCGTGACCATCGCTCGCGCCACCTCCGACGCGCGTATACTGAAGGCTGCGATACCGTTCGTGCCCTCTTTACGGACGCCAGTCCGCAGGATGCACGCGTGGGGATCACAGTCGTCGTGAACAGTGATCTCAGGCTGGTCCACGCTGCCACGGAACGTGGCCTCACTGACGTGTCCCTCCTGGAGGAGTGTGCGGTTGCCAGGGCAATCCTTTCCACCTCCACTCTCTCCTCTTCCACGCCCACTCACATTCTGACTGACTCCCAGGCGGCCTGTCGCCACTTCCTTTGCAACATCCTACATCCGTTCACTGCGTCCCTACTCGACTCTTTCCTATCCTCCACCTCCCACACTTTCCGGTTAGTCTGGGTGCCTGGGCACGCAGACATCCCCGGTAATGAGTGCGCAGATGCGCTCACCCGAGAACTCTAAACCGGGCACCTGGGGAAGACTCTGCCACCCTCCGACCGCCCTCTTTTTCATACTCAACTCATCTAGCTGAGTTACGCCTCGCTCGACAACATTCCTCCTCCTCAGCCTTCCCTTACTCGCAGACAGGGCGTCCTATGGCGTCAACTCCAAACCCTTCCCGACGCCCCTTTTCCACTCTTACGCGTATCCCTCCCGCTGTCCGCCTGAGTGCCGGCACTGCGGCGATCGTCCCACCCTTCTCCATATGGCCTGGCAAATATGCCAAGCCATTCCCTCTGCCTCGCCTCTTCCCAACCCCTCCCCCACCTCCTGGGAGGAGCGACTGACCGATGACACGGCCACCGGCCAGCGATGGCTGGTGGACCGTGCCGAGTCGGTGGCCGCCACGTATGGGGCCCGGGCTAGGGGCTCCAACTGGGTGTACTAGAACCCACACCTGCAATAAAGTTTATTCATTCATTCATTCATGCAGACAAAGTAAATGAAGAGCGCGGTGGTGTTACCATCATCTTTTTCGCACCGCCATCTTTGAGCCTGTTGCACGAGTGGTGAAGATTGGGGGTTGGGGGGGGGGGGGGGGGGGCTGGGGGAGGAGGGTATGTTTATACAACCTAGAACTTAGCCTGCCTCAACGGGCGACTTGTCTCCCAGCTGTCGATGAGAAATTTAGCCAGTGCAGTACAATCGCTAGCATGGGGTCTTTAACTTGCACCACGCAGTTGTGACGCACGACCGTACGCCGGTACGATGCTACTGTGCGCGACTTGTACAATGATACGTGCAACTTCTTTTTCGGTAGTAACCTTCTCACACAAAGCAATCACTCGAAGTATGCTTCAGTCGAGTGAATGCGGTGGTGCATCTTTTTTGTTGTGTGGCACCAGGAGAAAGGCTTCCAGCCCGGCGGCGCCACCCTGCACAGCATGATGACTCCTCATGGACCGGATGCCCAGTGCTACGAACAGAACAGGAAGGGCAAGTTGGTCCCACAGCGCATCGCCGAGGGATCTATGGTAAGTCACGTCGAATGTGCGGGAGTCCTCTATGCTGCGCATGATCAACTGACCTCCGAGATACGAAGACAATGGGCGCATCTCCTTTTCACCTTTGCTCGTCATGCTTAGAGCTTCCTAAAGCCATAGTCACACTGCTTGTATACATCGTACAAGGGACACGGAGTTTCTCTGCAGACGCGGTGACAGAATGGTCTGCGGACATCCGTCAAGCACGTTCGAAGCATGTTTGCCTCATGCATGCTTCGAACATGAATGCAGACAGTGTTTTGTATGACCAATGTGACCGTCATGCACGGAAGAAACAGGCCTCACAGTACCTTCGGAATGTCTTGTGTATGTACTGGCAACGTAACCGCGGCGTGCAGGGCCCGTGAACGGTTTTAAAACGTCCCTTGTGGAGTCTGAACTACACCTCTGTAACTCGTAATTAATGAACCGCAAACGTTTGTTTCCTTCTTAGGAATAGCTTTTCAATCCCCCCCCCCCCCCTTTCCCTTTTCCCATTAAATTATCATCTGTAACACGAAACGATTTGGCCTTCTAGCATTCTCTACTTGTCATATTTTTTATCTCGCGCATTCTCGGGCAACACCGCCTAGAAGACAAGGCCGCAGTGTTGACATTTCTTTTGCGTCACCAGCAAAAGCCAACGCTTGGACACCGATTGGAAACGTCCACTGCGTGCGATGCTCGGCAACGCGTCAAGTTTCAGCCCGAACGATGACGCAGTCGTCGTGCCCATTCCGTGACCAGCGTTGACCTTCGCCGATGACGACATGTCTATCGGCACCACGGCTTTCTTATCTTCGAGGTGTTGGGCTCGGGTCGTGGGTCGCTCCGGGTGCGCGTCATCGGACTACGAGTAGCTTGACACGCAGTTGTTATTTCCGCGCAAACTCAAAATACGACAGCTTTTATTTTATTTTTTTTTTAAGTACATAGAGTACCTGTTTTGTTTTTTGTACACCCGTTCGTACAGTATCACACTTGTTCCATAGGGACCATTTTATTTTTACTCGTAACTTCTGAATTGACTGTTTCACATTAAAGGTCGGTTCACACATACAGCGGAGCGCTAAGTTAGCGCTACGTGAGCGCTCCAAGGAGCGCTCATGTGGCGCTTCCTAGCGCGTGGTGTGGCGCTCTGTTAGCGCTTCAGAAGCGCTTTGTTAGCGCTCTGTTAGCGCTACAGAAGCGCTCTGTTGGCGCCACAGAAGCGCTTTGTTAGCGCTCTCACGCTCCTTGTGCCGTGCTTGCTGCTGCTGAACAGCGCGTGCACGGCGATTCCTTTGTTGTTTTTCTTTTGGCATTGAAAGAAGAGGAAGTAAAGCAGCCGCTCTCCAAGCAAAGGGTCGGGCAGGCCATCCAGAGTCATGGACTCTGAGCGACTAATTGGTTAGGTACGACCTCATCGCTTTCTATTCGATCTGCGTGACCCTAGTTTCAAAGACACGCTGTTAAAAATAATCGCCTTCGAAAGAGCTCTGCGTCTCGGTCCCTCAGCCTGGGAACAAGGTTCGCCGGGTACCCCTCGTATCTCTACGGCGAAAGATTTCGCGCACCCAGAAGGCTCTTCTGGGCATTAAGCCGTCCACACACATATGCACTAATCACGTATCTAAGAGCATTTGTCGCATTTCTATTTCAGCATCCCAGATGTCTGCCTTGGTGCTGCTGACGCACACCCAACCACAGGAACCGGTACCGCGGTGCACGCGCTAATCCGCGGCACCGCGGTACAAGAAGCGCTACTGAAGCGCTAACAAGGAGCTACTGGAGCGCTAACAAAGCGCTACTGGAGCGCTAACAAAGCGCTACTGGAGCGCTAACAAGGCGCTACAGAAGCGCTAATCGCGCGCTATGTTAGAACTAAGTCACGCGCTAGGAGCGCCGTGCACATGAGCGCTCCTTGGAGCGCTCACGTAGCGCTAACTTAGCGCTCCGCTGTATGTGTGAACAGGCCTTAAGTTCGACTGCAGCCACCGCTACGATCCGATGGTGCCCATCAAGCACGCGCCAAAGCAAAAGTGCATCTTCAAGGCGCTCGATGTCTTTGTACGTTTGCTACCCCGACTAAACCAATCGCATACAGTAAAAATTTCAGCATCACGCAGCATTCACTCTGCGTGACTGGTATATAGCAAGTGAAAGCGAGCACACAAAGACGACGGAGTGTAGGTTCTTCGCTCAAATATTCCTACCCCCATTTCCCGCCCTCTTTCTTCTATAATATACAAACTACTTATGCTATTCCTGTACCATTCAGCTTCTGGAAGAAACGGGTTTGTTTCTATCCGTTTAAAACTCGTTCAATCTGAGACACCCGCATTTCTACTCACGCAGGCGTTCATGTTCGAGAGCTCGCTGAGCATGGCGGTAACTAAATGGGGCGAGAGCGTCTGCGATAAGCTCGACCTGGACTACTACAAGTGCTGGCAGGCCATGGCCAAGAACTTCGACCTCAGCTGGAAGCCTGTCAAGCAAGAGTAGATGCACGAAGAACGGCTTTGGTTCTCCATACAGCCGAGACGAGACTTCGCCACTTTCGTGCATAATACTCTTCCGCGGTTAACTGCCTTCAGATGAGCAGAAGCAACGGTGCCATATATCTGCTGCGTTTTTTGTACAACCGAGCTCGAAAGGATGCTATCAAGGGATCGAAAGTGGTGTCACTGGAACCGTGAAATATGAAATAAACAAATATCGACGGATCGAACGGATCATCGCAGAGGCTAATGCGTCTTTTGTACGAAGAGTACGAAGGCAGCGCGGGTCACAATAGGCCATTTTCAAAAGTCAGAGACAGCTATACTTCGTTTCACCTAAGTCCAGAGACAGCCAACGCTACGAGCAGGTGGGTCCAATCAAGCAGCTTCAAAAACGCACCAGCATGGTGTTCCATGTTTCTGTACGTGCTCTCTCATCGTTTAACCAATCATAAACAAAAAAGGCTTAGTCGCTTGTGATTTTGACGCCTTGATTTGTCCCATTAGCTTGTAGCGTGGCAGTCTCAAGAGCTTCAATATTTTCGCTCTAATGGCTGTAATAAACTCTAATGAGTTTAGATCAGCTCCGGCCAGCCTTACCGTACACCCCTGGCACCAAGCGCGGCCATGGACGCGAGAGGCGAGGCGTGCCGAAGCGAACTCTGGCCAGCCTTATCTTTCGTCCCTTGCACCAAGCGCGGCCACACTCGCACTCCAAGAAAAAATGGAGGAAAAAGGTAGCAACGGCGCGGTCTTCCGCGTCTTCCCCTCTTCTACTGACGCGCCCCCAAGCGGACAGGAGAAGAAGGGAGAAATGATACGTGTTTCATCTTCTCCAGGCAGACGGGAGAAAGCTTTCGCACTCCCGACTCATATTATTTCGGTTTCGTTTTTCGAGCACGTCGGGCACGTTGTTTAAAGGGACACTGACAGGGTATTTATGCTCGCCGAGGTTTTTAGTTGTACGTGACATATGAGAGCTCAACTACCCAGAACAAAATTTGCGGCTCGAAATTTGGTTTCTTTCCGCCCGAAAACCGCCGATCAAGAACTGGCCAGTTCGAGTCTCGCTCACTCTTTTTTCCGCGGTCACGGGCCGTTTTCTAAGGCATCGATGCGACCACCAAATTTATTCAAAGTCGTGGGTCACTGAAAACACACACTCAATATTAAAAATAGAAAAAAATATGAAACCCATTTTTTGTGGCTTCTAAAAAGCTGCAAATCGTTGATTGAAAAAAAAAGTTCCACAGACAACCGGAAGCATTCTGTGCGTTCGTCGTTTCGCGTATCGTGGAACTCGCGGGAACGGCGATGGCAGCGGACGACGGGCGTGGGACCTCTATTTCAGAACTGTCGTTCGCGGTACCGGCGAATTCTGTCTACTTTTAAAAGAGAAATTTGGGACTGATCAAAAGAATTGGTATTCATCCCGTACGACACGCCCGACCACCAAGCCGATTTGCACGAAGACGTCGCCGAGACGTCGCCCCCTTCTCGTGGCTGAAGACATCGCTCGCGCAAACGTCAAGCACGACGTGTCTACTTCGAGTTGAATATGCACGCGTACGATTTCTTTACTATAGGTGCGAATGTCGCCAATGCGTGGTGCTTCCCGACTTCGACCCGGGAGTGCTTTTGCTAGAGGAAAATCGGCAGCAAACTTTCCAACTTACAGTTTACCGGCTGAATTATTAGTCAGGAAAGAGATCCAACATTGAAGAAATGCTCCAGTAGCTCAGGGGGAGGAAGAAGAAGCGACCGTGAGTGGAAGCCATTAATTTACCTTCCTGCAATTTAATTCAACAACGGGGGCCCGGGGCTTCCCCGGGTGACCCTGTTTGCCTAATCTTTGCCTCGAGAGGATGGCGCACGCCACGAGTGGGGAGATGAGCTCCGGAGGGAGCGGTTCGACGGCATCTGATGGCCGGGTTTCCAAGAAGACTTTCGAATCTTCAGACTACAGAGTTATTTTACCAAGGCTACCACAAGGCATTCTCGTCCTGAACTCAATATTTATTCATGCTGACATCACCGGAAGGCCATACAAGGCCAGCGATTTCAAGGAAGCCCTATTTTCTATCGCCGACCGGAAGGACGTCGTCGGCTTAGGGCAGTATCAAATGAGCCACGTCTGGATGATCACCTTCGGAAACGCTGCTGCAAAGAACAAGCTGAAGGCACAGGAGGAGCTCGTAATCAAAGGGAAGAAATGCATCATCATTGACCCGTGCAAAGAGGAAATCAAGCTGAAGCTTCTATGGGTGCCTATCCCCATGCCGGACTCGGAGGTGAGAAAGGTCCTAGAACCCTTTGGAAAAGTCAAGGAAATGACGAGAGAAAAGTGGAGATTTTCAGGTCTCGAGGACTTAGAATCAACGACGTTAGATGTAACCCTTACTCTGAGACAGGATCTCACAGTAGACAAGATCCCACACATCTTAAACATATACGGGTCGAATGTGCTCGTTGTAATACCAGGAAGGCCACCACTCTGCCTGAGATGCAAAGCGATTGGACACATCCGCCGGCAGTGCCGCACTCCTCTGTGCCATGAGTGCTGGCGGTATGGACATACAACTGAAGAGTGCGTCGTGACGTATGCCTCCAAGCTCCAAGGAAAGGCATCACCGGAGACTGACCACAGCGAGCATCTAATGGATGTGGAGGAAATGTGCAACGAGGAGCTAACACCTTCGCAAGCGACGGACGACCACGCTATCACAAAAGACAACTCTAACAGCGCTACCAAAGACGTGCTAGCGGAGCAAAAGAACAGTGTAGAACAAGACTTGGGACATGAGGCACCACTAGCCGAACCAGAGATTTCTACAAACATAGAAAAGGACCCGCGAAAGCAACTGACGCAAGCCAAACAGCTGGCGGATGATGACAGAACAGATAGGCGACAGAGCAAGAAACCCAAGGTTGACGTCACCGAGTCTGCGAAGGAGGAATCTCAGGTCGCAACATTTCCAACAACCTCCAACGACCCACAGAAGCAGCTGGTTCCTAAAGAGCAATGGCTAAAGCCAAAATTCAAAGACCGGAAACCATCTTTCCCGGCTGCCCTAAAACCCGACCCACAAAATGAATAGGAACCGCGTCACCCCCGCCCAGATAAGTCCCTCCACCATTTCCACCTTAAATGTGCGAGGGATAAATTCGAGAAAAAAACAGTACCAACTGTTTCGGTTTCTAGAGAAACATGACAGCGACATTGTAGCCCTGCAGGAAACGAAAGTGTCAGAACAGAATACCTTATTTTCGGGATGTAACCTGTGGATGAACACCTATGACGTGGTCCACTGTCCCGCAATCGACTACTCAGCAGGGTGCGCAATTCTGTTCAAGAAGCATATGAATTACAAATTGTGTAGCGTTCTCGAAGGGACTGACCGCGGGCGCCTAATGGTAGCAAACGTCCTCCTACAAAACCAGCCTTGGCGAATAATTATTGTGTACGCGTACAACGACGTTGCGCAAAGAGAAAGCCTCTTCTGTCAGGCTAGAATTTACGCCGACACTAGGTTTAACGTCATCCTCTTAGGAGACTTCAACTGCGTTTTAAACAAAAAGGATAGACTTCCACGAACAAACATTGTAGATCCAAGCGCAGAAGTTTTAAAATCACTGGTACGAGACTGCGACTTGTTAGACTCATCAGCAACATCAAACCAAGCGATCTGCTTTACTCACTTCCAAGGGTCGTCTCATGCACGATTGGATAGAATCTACATCTCCGGAGCAGTCTCCGGTGCAATGAGCAGCTACAACGTGATTCCTGCCTTCTTTTCTGATCATTGTATGGTTCAGGTGACAATAGGCACGAGAACATCTCAGAGAACAAGGAACTCACAGGCCTGGTCCCTTTGGAAAATGAATGAGAGCCTACTTGAAAACGAGGAATTCAAGAAGGGAGTAGAATCAGCTCTTAAAATATCGAGTGTACCAAACATGGGTGGGGACAGAAATGGGAAATGTTTAAACAAGAAATAAGGAAGATGAGCATCGAACTGTCATCAATTGTGGCATACCGACAAAAAATGGAAAGGCGACTTAATGAAGGCATTCTCTACCTGTATCGCCTTGAATGCCAGGAACCAGGAAAATACAAAGATGACATAAAGAACCTTAGAAAACAAATTGAAGAACATGATAAACTGCACTACGGAGGAGCCGCAGTAAGAACACGTACCTTGCAAGTCATAGAGGGAGAGCAACCGACGAAGAGGTACCTTAATGCAGAGAGAGAATATGTGAAAAAGAAGCGAATTGACACACTACAAGGAGTTGGTCAAATTTCGACTGATGAAAAGGAAATTCGCGAAACATTTGAAGCCTATTACGAAGACATATTGTCACGGGTGGTGACCAAAAAAACAGGAAATAAACAGAAAGAAATAAACGTTTAATGTGGCGAACTTGTGCCAAAAATAAACGAGTACAAAAGATAATAATAGAGCGTCGCGGGCGTCGAAGTCGGCGTAGCAGCAGAGTCGAACGCTGGTGCGAAACTGACTCGACAAGGTAGCGGGCGGCCTCTTATCTATAGTCAGTTACAGGTCAAGAAGGTAGCGGCAAATGCCCCTCAAAGGGAATCACATATCCCTCCGCCACCTCCGCATCCAATAGTGTCCCACCATTTCCGTGACGTTGCGGCCAACGCGCGAGGAGGGTCTTGCCTTTCTGTACATATTTGCTTTATTTTTCGAATCTGACTTAGCACTGTGGAAGCCTCGAGAGGGAGATTAGAGTTCTGCCCCACCGACGGAAACAAATGCGACTTTCGGGGATTAGCTTCCCCCCCGATGGATACAAAGGCTGCTTTCAGGGGCTCGGTTCCCTCTACGATGAATACAAAGGTCGCTTTCTTAAAAAGTGGGATCGGAGACAAGTTGGAATCTATTGAAGCGGAACAAGGAGCGTTTCCAGTGAACTCTTCTTTCGACTGCGGAGGGATTTGAAACGGGCGCATCACACTTGTGGGAGGAGCTTCTCCTACCTTCTTGACTTGTAACCGACTATAGAGTGTGTCACTATCTCGAAGATTCGGCGAAAGCGGCTCGAGCGTCGCGTGATCGGGGCGAGAATGAACACGCACTTTCTAGAAAACAAAAGCAGGAATAAATGATAGAAGTTACGTGCGGTACATGAATAGACGAGAACTTTCTGGGGGTCCGTGACCGAGCGTTGCTTTCTCAGCCCTGCGCGCGGCATTATCCCCCCCTTTAAAAGTGCATCGTCCCGATGCAGCACAAAAACGGAAAACAAAAAAAACAAAAGGACAGCAGAATTGCTAGCCGGAGTTCACAGTCCACAGTTCACTCGTCGACGAGAGTGGAGAGTCCTATCGTTCGTAATACGGCTTCAGCCGGACGACATGCACCACCTCGGGTCGCGGCTGACGTCTTGCAGATGGGCGCGTTCCGTCGGGTAGAACTTCGTAGTTCAGATCGCCGAGGCGTCGGATGATCTTGTAGGGCCCAAAGTAGCGCTTCAGCAATTTCTCACTGAGGCCGCGGCGACGGATGGGCGTCCATACCCACACCCTATCTCCGGGCTGAAAGTGGACGTCCCTGCGACGAAGGTTGTAGCGGCCGGCGTCGACGCGTTGCTGGTCTTGAATCAGGAGTCGGGCGAGCTGGCGAACTTCTTCGGCGCGTTGAGCAACCGCCTGGGCGTCGTCGCTCTCGTTGTC